GACACCTAGTGATGATCATAAAGTTGGAACACAATTAAACAATCTATTGTATTTAAATACAATTAATGAAAAAACCAAGTTCAAAGCAGATAATCCAAGATCAGATCTTGGATATAGGGCAGCCCTTGAAATTTTAAATGCCCCAAACAGGCCCGTAGCCAGGATTTTGATTCCAGGGGGGGGGGGGGGGGGCTGAATTTTTTTCAGGGGGGTTGGGGGGGGGGCTGAGTCTGAGTGAAAGAGGGTCAGCCCTAGCAAACCTTTTGTATCGTTACCCCAATACCCCCATGCATATGGGATATATTGAGTATGGTGATCAGATCATGATATGAATAAACATAACAGTTTAAATAATGCACCAGTAAGGCCTTTTTCCAAACCACCATGAGAATTTCGAGGGGGGGGGGCGGGGGGTAAAGCCCCTCAACCCCCCCCCCCCCCGGCTACATGCCTGGCCCTAAATTAGGTAAGATGTTGTGACCAGAAGGACTGACATAGACTAGGAATAGCGAAGGAATCACTGCTAATTGTACAAATACCTGGTTAGCCTAAGTTATGTACATTACAACTAAGAAACATTAGCTTCTTTTTGTTTCTTAAACACAAATATTGCCTTCATTTTCATCTATTCATTGCCTTTTTTGAAACATAAGTTTGAATCAGCCCAGAGGTACATGAGAACTTTTGCAGGAGCAAAGCTGGAGATTTAAGTTAAATCTGGTTAAATCTTTATTCATTCAGTCACCAAAGTTTACCCATGCACCAGACAGGGATATGGTGATCCACTTCAAATAATCTTAGCGTAAGAGAAAGGAAGGGGAAAAGGAATCAAACCAGTTTATTTCAGCATGTTTTCATAGGCTACAGCTCACTTCTTCAGTCCATCAAAGCTTATGCTTAAATGAACTGGTGACTTTTAAAAGATACAGCTCTTTTCATTAGTGAAACAAGTTAACAAAATCATATCTGAAAATCCGCATCAAAGGGTTTAATTTGGAAGAAAACACCTACTTAATTATGGAAGTGGGAACATAACTGTCCCCACTGTTCTCCTATAGCAAAGATTATTGTCATGCCACTTATGCTACTGGACCATGCAGTGGCCTTCCAGCTTCAGGGCTTTCTGGATAAGATGAAGTTGTTAAGAATTGTTTCAGTGTGATCCCCATGGTGGTGGGAACTATAAATGTTGTGTATGTATTAAAATAAACATATAAAATTAAAAAAAAGAAGAATTGTTTCAGTATGGCATTAGGCCTTGTTGTGGAAGAGAAATGGCTTTGGTGGGAGCCAGACAGGAGTGTTGGATTTGCTGGACCTCTCAACATTACAAGAAAAAAAAAAAAACCAGCTGGCTTAGGCTGCTAAAGAGCTTTGGTGACTCATGCCATCAGTATGACGACTCCTAATTCGGATCTCTTCTTTCCTGCTCCATCCAAGGAAACTTTCAGTTCTAGATTGGTGCCTGTTAATAGCAATGTGCTACATGAGGATGCACTTATGGGACTAAATCTGGGACTACCAGATTTTAAATTATATTATGAGGTCAGCGTTTTAGACTGGCTAAAGAATTGGATATTCCTAAACGATTCAAGAACACAGACATTGGAACACACAATTTAAGACAAGGATGGCATGCATATCTTTGGTACAACAAAAAGAAATCAACGAGAAAAATTTCAGCAACCACTTTATTAGGGTGGCCCTAATAAGAACTTGGGAAAAGTATAAAAACAAAATATACACCAAAACTCCTTTATGGGTGTTTCCCATGGAGGCTTGCCAATTAAGAGAAATGGGAGGGGTAAAATGGCCCACTTATAAAGAAATGTTGACCATAAAAAATGGAGCCACCGTACTAAAAACACCAATTAAATAGAAATATTTCCTGGTATCAATTGTTTCAAATAAGGGAACAATTTAAAAAAGATAAAGAACTAATTTTCATGGGCAAGGAATCTCAATGGGATAATTTTAGTGATAAAACAAATTTATCACTAAAATATATAAAAAATTACTGGAATGGGAAACAGAGAAGGAGAGGGTCAAGGACTACATGATAAAATGGGCAGCTAATATAGGACACACGATAAGTTTAGACAATTGGGAGACAATGTGGACCAGAAAAATAAAACTGACATACTGGTATGATATCCAGGAAAACCGGTATAAAATGTATTTTAGGTGGTATATAACACTGGATAAACTTGCAAAATGTTACAAAAATACAAATGGGAAGTGCTGGAAATGTGAAAAAGAAAAAGGAACTTTCCACCACATGTGATGGAGCTGTGAATTTGCCAATAAGTATTAGAGGGAGATGCATAAAGCGATTCAAATAATCCTTGAAATAAAATTTCAATTTAAATCAGAATATTACCTCCTGGGTTTAATAAACTTTGATCAGGATACAAATAAAGAGATGTTATTTAACTACTCAATTTCAGCAGCTAGAATAGCTCAATGCTGGCGAGGTAAAGAAATTCCTAATTTAAAAGAATGGTTGATTAAAATGATAGAAATTAGGAATATAGACAACCTGACTAAATAAGTCAGACAAAAACAAAAGAAAACAGCAGTAGATTGGAGTTCATTAAATAAATTATTGGAAGAAGAAAAAATAGAAATCTATATATAAAAGTTATAGGGAAAAGAAGCTTCATTCCCTAAAACTTCTGAAAAAGGTGAGGACAAAGAATACAAGAAGTGCAAAGAAGAGAGAACACATATCCCGGAAATGAGAAGATTGGGAAGCCAAAAATCCCCTGCCCCCTTCCCGCTCTCCTTTTATCCACCTTTCCCCATTTTCCTTCCCTATCTCCCCATTATCCACCCTTCTGCCCTTGTGCTTTCATCACAACCTTGTACCTATCCCTTATCCCCCCCCCACTCACCCACGCTTTTCCCTACCCCCTTTGAACTCCCTCCCTGTTCTTTTCATCCCCCTTTTTATGTAATTGAAAAGTTTCTTAATAAAGATATTAAAAAAATTTATGGGACTAAATATTTGAAATCAATTACAGATTTGTGTGTCTAAGAATATTACAAGCACATTTGAACATCCCTTATCTGAAATGGCAGGGACCAGAGGTGTTTTGTATTTTTTTCCAAATTTTAGAATACCTATTTTTGCATATGTGTACATGGGATACTTTGGAGATGGGAGCCAAGTCATGAAATTCATTTAGTTTTCATATATACCTTATAAACGAAATCTAAAAGTAATTTCATCATACAATATATTTATTAAATTTTTGTATTAAAACAAGTTTGCATACACTGAACCATCAGAAATCTCTATCAGCCACCTATGATGAATATTTTGGATTTCAGAGTATTTTGATTTTGGAATTCTGGATAAAGATGCTTAACCTGTAGAGAAGTGGTTCTCAATCTGTGGGTCCCCAAATGTTTTGGCCTACAATGCCCACAGATCTGTAGAGAAGTGGTTCTCAATCTGTGGGTCCCCAAATGTTTTGGCCTACAATGCCCACAGATCCCAGCCAGTTTACCAGCTGTTAGGACTTCTGGGAGTTGAAGGCCAAAACATCTGGGGACCCACAGGTTGAGAACTACTATTGCTTATTTGGACATCTGTTTCTTGAATGCTGGTGTTTGCTCTGAGATTAAGAAAAGTCACAAAAGACACATCCTACTATCAGAAAAGACAAAGCTACACAATTCAGGTTTATTCTACAGCTTGTGATCAATATCAGTGATACAGGTTATATGAATTTCCACTAAATACAAGTCCATCTTCAGATTCCAATGACTGTATGGTTAGTGAAAAACAATTCACAGTTAATAAATTAAGTCAGTCAGCAGTTTTGGTAACAGTCAGATAGCAAAAATAGGAATGAACTGCCTTAAGGAAAATGTCTGACAGTTGCTATTGCCATCTTCTGGCAGGAGAGTTGCCTAGATAATTTTTACCAAATAGTTGAAAAACTGTATCAATGCTTAGTCATATTTTGAGATATTTCTGTAATCAGTTTTTTTCTCCATAAATATGTTAACACCAGGAAACATTTTGCCAAGTGAGTGTCGATTCTAATCATCTAATCTAGCATGGATAGCAATTCCGATTCATAAATTCAGATAAGGTATTTATTGCTTAAGGAAATTTCAGTGCAAATGTGTACTTTACTTTTCATGCTTTCACAGTTACAGGATCAACTGGAATGTGTGCATCAACTTATCCTTCAAGCCAGAAATACATCCTTTGTTCCAAAGATGATGCTCAGCAATAGGTATGGGTCAGGTCTACAACTAATGTAAAGCCAGGATGGCCATTGGAATTAATTACTTTCATGGCTTTCCAAAAATATACAGTATACATATATACATACTACCAGAACCACAATTCACCAAGATTATATGCCTATAGCAGCATTAGTTTTTATTATTCATTGTTGATTTCATCTTTTTACTCCATATTTTAATTTGCTTGATCCAACAAAAGAAAAATACTTTTGTCTGGGTTGCAGCAGAATCACTTTGCAGAACATAACATGCAGCCTCTCTGAAAAGGCATGTAGTTTAAAAATAGTACCTTAAAGTTAAGTTACTCTACACAGTATTTCAGTATAGATTTAATAAACCTGTTTTATTCTGGTTGTTGCAGAATATCAGATCACTGAAACATATTATGTAAGCATGTGGACAAGCACATATTCTTACATAAGGAGAAACTCTTGTGGCTTACAAAACTAGCCAGTGCTAAGTGCATAATCATTCCAGATGGGTAGCAATTTCCCATGGCAACACACTGTAAATGTGTACTATAACTCCAGTTCCCTTTTGTGGGCATGAACTATTTTGAATATCACATTCCTATTTAATAAGAACTCCCATGGCATGTGGCAGCATAAAAATTGGTTTATGAAACATCACAATGCATTGCATTACACATTATGTAAGCCATTTTCTTGGTCCTAGGATAAACCGTTAATGAGAAAGGCATTAAGACAATGAAATATAAGGAGTCTGACTCCAAGGACTATATGAAACAAATTTACTCTGTTTTAATAAGTCAAGTATTTAATACATGGCAGGTACATCTTATGTAAGAGTGAATTACCTCATGTTTAGACCAGAGTTGGTACAGATTCCAAGTATCTTGTCTATTCACTCTGCAGTGATTATCTAGTCGCCAGATATAGCGCTAAGTCATAAGGAAAGCTTAGAAGAGCACATTTAAGATAGTTTTTCCTTAATGTTATAAAAAGTTATTAATTTTGTAACCTTCTTAAATTTACTTTAAAAAACACCCCCACCTCTAAACAAGTATCAGATGTAAAAAAAAATGCAATAGCACACATTCCCACTCAAAGAAAACATGCAAACAATGGCTGGTAAAAATCCTGCATAAAACTGTGCACTCTCTCTGCGAAGTGTCACCTTTGAGCACCAAGCATTTCTTAGTGCACTGGCTGCTGACCTGTAGGGGAAAATGGCAGAAATGTATCTTCTGGTATCTAAGCTGTTTAGGAATTTGAGGCAAAAGCCTCCGTTGTAATTAAGACTTTAAACCTGTTTCTAGAAGTACAAACAGAATCCAATAAAATGCCAGGTTAAGGTGAAAAAGAAATAAGTTTTACCCTGTGCCACACACTTAAAAAAACTAGACAAACGATACTGGATTTTATGAATACACCTTTTAAAAAAGTTTTTTATTTCTGAAAGCAGCTCTTTATGAAAATCAAAAGCAGTTCCTGAGTAACTGCAGTAAACAGTGTCTTTTTAAAATATATATATATATATGCCACTTAACTCTTCTCTGGTTTGGTTCCTTTTAATTCCCTAATTTTCAAGTTAGAGCTCTGTTCCTTTCCCGAAAGTGTGCAAGTACAGTTAGCATCATTTTCAAGAGTCCACATGATGCTGTCTTTCCATGCAATGTCTGCAATATGTACACACTGGTTAGTTGTGTTCATACAGCTATTGCAAACGTTTTCCCACCCAGAAACTTTGCCATCACTGGGCCTTCATGTTTTCTTCAGCATACGGCGGGATTGCCACGTGTGGAATTTATTATAGGCTGTTTGCAGCATTTCTTCTATATGACTTATCAGCTGAAAGAGACACAACAATTGTGACAATTAGCAGTATTATAGACAAAAAAGCAGAAATGACAAGAGTTCAGATGTTGAAAGTAGAATCAAAGATTCCATTTTAAGATTAATTTTTAAAATGTTTCAACTGGTTTTTACTTGTCAAAAACTGCACATCAGTAGGAAATACAGTCAGTACAGAGTTGCAAATTAAAAGAGAAGACATTTTAAAGAACTGACAAAAAATAACAACCTTATACTTAGGTTGGGTCTTAGTCTCAGGAGAGAAGCGATGTACAAATAACTATAATACAGCAACTAGCAAACCCTCCTGATTCAGGGACAATATATAGACAGAACTTCCCCCAGCATGATGGTACAGCTTAGATACACAACTGTAACTCAAAAAGTTAACACTATATTAATGAGACAGTCAGGACATTTTAAACCCTTTGTTACGTTTTGATGCACAATTCATCCAGGGAGAGATCTAGAAAGTATGCTTTTTAGGACAATGCCATCACAAGCGACAATGTTGACATAAAATAATGTCTCTGAGTTTCAGCCTCCTCCCATGTACATTTAAAAATACCCTCAGACAATTATAGTATTTAAGACATTTTCACCCTGCAGATATTGCACCTCACTTTATTATTCTGAATGCTTAGTATAGTGGAATACCCTCAAATTCTACACCAACAAACATTTTTGTGGGCACGGTCTATTTTATAGCCAGTATTCGAATACATGGGAATTCTGAATGGAATAAGAAATGACCCAAGATTAAACAGTGCTACGTAACGTTTCATCTGCCTGGATGATAATTTAGTCTCCAAATCTTAAATTAGAAGCTGATACTGATCATAATGCAACAAACAGGTGGATATAGTAGCTCAGATATCAATTGGTTCCTCGAAAAGTAAAACTACTGATTCTCGGAAATGCTTTTTACATTAATAAAATATATTTTTGAAGTTGATGGCATCTGCTTTATAAAAGAAAAAAAAAAAACGGGACAACCAATTGAACTATAAAAGGAGGCGTTTTTTTCTAATCAAGATATTGGCTGAGGAAGAAGTTACTAAAATGTTGGGTTTTCGCAGAAACTAAAAGGCTCTTTATGATTTTCTGTTACTGATGCTTTCCTGCATTTGCTAGACACCATCACTGCTTGCAAGACTTGAACCTCTAATGGATTCATTAGTTCTGGCAGTGTACTTCCTTATTTTTATAGAGCATCTGATTTTTATAAACAAAAAACAACCCTACTACCACCTTGCACTTTTATGATATGTAAAAGAAAAGAGTGGCATTTTTCTTACATTTGTGCTTAAATACTGTCTTCGAATTTTGTCTTGGAATGGACAGAGTTTAGTAACTTGAAATCTTTCCAAATTACTTTTCATTTTCATAACCTGAAAAGGAGAAAACATCAAATGAATAGAGCTCATCACCTTTATGTATGTTGTCTTTTCAAGCTTATTAGTGATTTTATGTATGTTATTTGAAATACTACATACACGTTCTATTTTCTCGTTAATTTTTTTAAAAACAGTGATAATATTTCAAGTTGAATGACAAATTTAAACAGTATACTTATCTACAGCAACATGCATGCTGAAACAATTTTGATTATTGTACACTGTTCTTTATTTTTAAAATATTTCATAACATTCAAAAAGGCAGCATCACCTTTTCATATCTAAAAAAATTCTGAGATAAAAGCTACATCAGGTAGCACGACATTTATTTGAACTATTCTATAAACAGACTATTCTATAAACATTCACATATGGTTTTCCTTCTATTCACCAGCAGAATTTTTGCATGTGATATACTATTCATTGTAGGGAACAGTTTTATTGTTAATCAGTGTTCATTTTGGGCTGGGTGTATGTGCATGCTTTCAAGTAGCTGATCAACTCATAATGGCCCTATGACTTTCACAGGGTTTTCTTAGGCAAAGAAAGCTGAGTGGTAGTTTTGGCAATTCTTTGTGCTGCCAAGTGAAGTCTTTTTGCAGATCTTGCCTACCTTCTCTTCTAGGAATGGTGTGTTAACAGGAAAGCAGGACCAGAAATGTCGCAACAGTTCTCCAACTGCCACATACAAGTGCTTTAATTCAGACTGAATGTCATTTGGCACCATCTCTGCAGTTAGAAAAAAATTACAGCAAGTTATATTTAAAATGAAATGTATGAAATCTCAATTCACTTTAGATAATGGTATCAGGCAGTGAATATATAAATCTGTCATAACTCTGATGTGAGAACGTCTGTCAGGAAACCAGCTTCAGTGTTTTAACTGAGCTAGACATGAAACGAATTCTGCCAAAGTTTGAACTGTTCAGTCTTTGGCAGAATTCTCTTCACCTCAATTAAAATTATGATTCGTGTGCAATATTTACATGATTAATTGAGATCTTTTTTCATATTTGGTAAAGTATGAGCAAGCGAAACATTAAATACTTACGATTTATGGCTTGCTGTATTCCACCCTGCATAAGTGCTCCCCCAGGTGACAGGGCTGTGATAGTACTACTTGCATCCTCACTTGAAATAACCTTGAAAAACAACAATTAATTTCAGTTTCACTCACTTTAAGCGAAGTAAAACAAACCAAAACAACACAGGCTCAATCTTAAGGACTTAGGTGGATAGGTGCACCAGTTAAAATGCTGTGTTGTTTATGTATTACAGTAGATGTTATATATTAAAGTGGAAGCTTAGGTTAGAAATGCCAGGTGACCATATAGTATAGAACTCCATCCATTTCAATATCAAAATTTGGTGTTTCTATTATATTTAAAAGGTATTATTATTTAAAAGGTCGTCTCCTGGACATACTCTGTCACAACCGGTACGGTGGGTAATGTCCTGTAATTTGGATTCACTTTGTATCCTGAAAGCAATGAAATAAACCCTCTAACACTGGCTTTGCCAGGTAAGACTGGCAAAGATATATATTTGTGCTACTATCACGCAAGAGTAACAAGGCCTCAGCCAGTCTTTGCTCATTCAACAAGATCTATGGTGAGAACAGCAGAGCAATGCCACTGTTAGAGATCTCTAACGTCACTGGATGTAAAGATCCATCAACTTTCATCAGATCCTACAAAACAAACAAATTTAAGTCCAGACAGGCAACCTTTAGTAAATCTATCCTTCAGGCAATCATTCCCACTCTTGTGTCCAATTGACCCTTCTTTTCTACTCTATCTCCTGGGGAGGATGCCTATTTAATTACACTGAAGAGAGAATTGAGACTCAACAGACATAGCAGAATTGAACAGGGTTTTCTTAGGCAAAGGAAGCTCAGTAGTAGTTTTTGGCAATTCCTTATGCCTTGGCTGCTGGCACAAGATAATAACCCACCTATGTGGATTGTTTCTTCAGCCTTCCTAGAATGATAATTCATGTATGGTATGAATCTCTCATTTCTTCTCATTACGTCTTAAGAAAATGTTACTGAGCTATTATTATTACCAAGCATAGAACATTTAGCTCCTATGTTAACTTTATAAAACTTTTGATTATCATGTTTCGCATGCTCTTAACAGCCATTTTTGGGATGGTTGCAAATGGAGATAATCATATGTGTAATCCTTTTTATGTTGATGGATTTATCCACTATTAATGTGCATGAAGTTTTTAGAAGACAGTTGGGACAGATTTCTTCCCAATGTTCTTCCCATAGGGATATGCAAGCAGAGCGTCATACAAGTAAACAGAAATGAAGCTGAAATTCTGTTGGCCAGTTTAAGTATACAACTGACAGAAGACAAGTAAAATGTTGGCAAGTGAGTGTAAGGGTGGGGATGGATAAAAGAGCTTGTTGAGGCAGGGTTTGCCCCTGATGGGAATGGCTTTATCTGATTTCTCATCACTACCTGTGTAACCTGGAAAAAAATATAGTATGCAGTAAAATACACAGTTCAGTATCAAGATGGTTCCAGACTCAGCCTCTAGTTTTAAATGAACTAAATCTAAGTATCCTACCTGAGTTAAATTGGACACATAGCCTTCCATCTCTCCTTGAATACTATCATAAGAATTAATAATATCTTGGCTAGTTGCATATTGCTGAGACTGAATTGGTGTTGGACCATGATAATACCTGTTGATAAGATAAAGGTTCATAATAAAATGTTAAAAAAGGTAATTTTCAAGCTTAAGCACCCTGTTGCTGTCTTTCATTGTAAATCATTAGTAAGCTAATTATCAGTATCATACCATTTATTTTCCTCTCAAAAAGGACTGCTAGCTCTAAGTAAGCACCAATATAGAGATCACGTCTATTTCCACAGGCCATATGTCAATTTCAATATTATGACTTTTTTTTGAAGACATTCATGCATAGAGATGTAAACCCAGAATTTAGATTTATACTTGATTTGTGTAAAAAAGGAAAGTTGTGACATGGCAGATAAGCACAATCCAGAACTGGGATTGAATAATATCTTAGCTAGATCACAAAACATCATACAATGCAACTGGAAGTTATTAGAGCATGCTTTTTTTCCTGAATTCCATGTTTTAAACTATGCATAAATGAAGACACTATATATAAGCATGATTATCTTGTTAAAATTATATTTGCCCAAGGAAAACAGGATAGGCTAGTGGGGAAAGTGAGCAATTACATTTAAAATTAAAGACAAATTCTTTGTCTTCAGAACATACCTATCTGATTTCTTTAGGTTTAGTGCAATCGTTTTAATGCTGTCGGTGCTTGCTAAGTCTTCATATTCAATAGACTCTTGAAGTTTTACCTGAAAGAAAATATACTGTTATTGTTCTACAAAACTTTGCAGCAAAGAAGGAATTGGGGGGGGAGAGAGAGAGAGAGACTGGGGGGGGGGGGTGTCATGTGGTAGTTTTTTTTTTAAAATTAAACTGATAACTTTACCTTTTTTACTGGTGGCTGAGATAAATCCTTGGAACTTCCATCAGTACTGATGGCCTCATTGTTATGATCACCGTGTGCTTCTCTAAAAACCAAGAGTTAACACATTTTATTAGTTTTCTCAAGTTGTTCAACCAAAATTCACAACGATTTACACACAGGACAAATTTCATTACTTGGTAAGAGGGAGCATTTCCATGCTGGGGCACATGTTAGGGAAACACCTGTTTCTCTTCTCAGCTACCTATCTACATAAACTTTGCATTCCCTTGACTTACACTTTTATCTTTAGGAAAACAAAATGGAAATTCCAAATGAGCTCAAAGCTGTATCAAGATCTAATCAATGAAAACAAATGAAGCGACTACTTTGCTAAAACCAAGAATGTTTGGGTATGATCAATGCTTGGATGGTAGTTAATCTGAGAACTAATGAGCCTGTCTTGAATTACATGAGAGAAAAATGTATTAACTCATGTTCTAGTAAGATAATATTGGTCCTGATCTCTATTGTTTCAAACTGCAGGTGGGATTGCATGTTTGAATGTTCTTATATATAAAGTAATTGCTAAATGTAGAAAGGTTGATGTCGCTGCAAATGAAGCAAGTCTACTATTCTTTCAGGTGTTTTCTATGCAGAGGATTTCCGCCTTTTTTAAGCAAGGAATCCTATCATATAGTTCTCAACTCAAAATCTCAAAAAAAAAAAAGTAAGCTATGAACAACTTTATCATTTCAAATCTGTGGCTACGTTTTGATTAAGAGGCCTTCTAAGGTATGGGATGAGCATTTACTCCATTTCTTCTACTTTTCTTCTTTTCTGTTCAAGATTTTGATGACCACAGTATGTTGTGACAACCTGATTGGCAGACTGTGGTGGTTTGCAGCAAGCCCTGTGACACTAGCGCATAAATTAAATGGATTTAGAGGTTTGCCAATTATGATGTCACAGCAAATCATGAATAGAAAAAACCAAAAAGCGGTGAAGAAAAACCACAAGTGAAAGAAATGAAATATTTCAGAACCCTAACAAGCACCCCATTCCCAAACCATGGCTTAACATGATATCTTAATTAACTAACTATCTGAGACGTCCATATCAATACCAAGTCTGTAACTTTCCTCTGCTTCTCAGTGGCTAATATATGCCATGACAGTATGGCATTCTTTTAGGAATAAATTCACCCAGTTCTTTGGGCCTTTGGATATTCCTTAAAATGACTGTTTAATTCACTTAATGTTTGGGATTCTTGTATTCTTTGTTTTCAACATATAAACTTGAGTGCATGTTTCAGGATGAGGGACTCTGCCCACTTCATTTCAAGAATGCTTCCAGGATAAGGAGGTTCCTTCCCAGATTACAGCTCTTTGCGTTTAGTCTGGGTTCTGCTGCAACTTACGGTTTTCGGAGCCCAGCTGCAAGAACCATGGCACTGTGATGGTTAAAGCGTTTTATAATGGCAGCATTGCTATTCTCCTTGATTGATTTACTAGAGCTCGATGTAGAAGGTGCTGAGGAAACACCATAACCCTGCAAAGGAAGCAATTATAAACAAGAGAGGATGAATCATGGGATAAGGAGACAGATTTAAAGCCAGAATCACTGAATTGTTGGTTTTACAATGTTGTCTAGAGTGGAAGTTTATTATTATTTATGTATTTAAATATCCTGCATTTCCTGCATAGAATATCCTTTCTATCCTGCATTTATCACCTGCCAGGGACTCAAATTATCAAGAGGATCCATCTTTCTGTGTTTGTCTGACTGGACTGAAGCCATTTAAGCAGCAAGATTTCTGCTCTTCAATGTAACAGAATTCTACAAAGGACCATTATTTTAAAAAATATACTTTTATTGTTTTATAGTGTATATAGGAAACAAACCAAGTGAACAAAAGAAAAAAATATTTGCAAAAGATTTACAAAAGGGTGTACATTCAGTGTTCGTTAAACATATGAAAAATCAAACTTGGCTGTACAGTGCTTATCAGGGTGTGTTTACTTAGTCCACTTTTCAAATATTAGGCTACTAATGCCTGAACGGTAATTATTCAGTGGCAAGCAATAACTCAATAAAATCAATGAAAAATGTGCATCTATGTATTTCTTTAAAAATTGCTCACTTACTATTCTTCAGAAAAGGTTTAGTTTTGTATCACTGTGACCTTGTCTTATGCATACATGTGCTATACTTTGCTTAGACCACAGTGCATCTAACTTTTGGAGTGTGCAAAGAATTTTTTGCACAAGAAAGGTGAAATGTCTGAAGAAAATGAGGAATGTGTGGAAGGAGATATAGATTACTTACAGAATCAAGAAATTTTGTCTGAAATACTTAAAGGAGGTGAAATCAACAAAAGAGATTTAAATCAAATGACAATTTGGAGAGGAATCCTAAGAAGAATTGAAATTTGTATGACTGTGGTGCCTAATAAGGATAAGGAAGAACACATCCTTCTCCCTTATAGTTTGATCGGGAGGAATTTGTCATGAGCAAGGGATTTTATAGCAAAGCACAGACGGCGGCTGTGGAGGATTTTATTGACAAAGCATTTTTCAAATAGGAGTTTGATGGGCCGGAGAAGCAATATGTAGACAAGATATTGTTTGTGAGGTGATATGTTAGGAAAGAAGTACTAAGGAAATAATGAAAAAGAGAATACATTTACTGTAGGTTATGTTAATTCATAGATTTGGTAAAGCAGAAGAAGTGTATCAATTGTAGTAACATTGGAGACGATATACCAGTGGTTCTTAACCTGTGGGCTGTGAGGACGTAAATCTGGTCCACGAGCCCCCTTCCTCATTATTTATTTTTTTAATTTCCACTTCTTTCACACTGTCTGCCAGTCCTTCCCTGTCACTGACCATACCATATGTTCTGTATCAGAACTAGAACTGATGTGGTCTATCCAATGCAATTTTCTGAATCAGCACCCCAAATCGAATCTAAAGTTGACCAAAAACTCATTTGTAACCCTTTTGGTACTAATGTTGGAGAGTGGTCTCTAGTCAAGTAGAGCTGAGCTGAGCTGTTTTCATCCACCTGGGGCTTAGCACAACTGTCAGAATGCAACACATTTGATATGGCATGAACCTCATGCAATTCACTTTCTCTTTACCCTGATATAATATGCATTTTACAGTTTCATATTAGCTGCACTTACTTCATCCAATGATTTATCTTCCAAGGCTGTTAAATCTAATAAAGGATTTTTCACTCCTTGAGATACCATGTTTTTCAAACCTAAAAATAGAAAACACATGTTTTTAAGATTAATGCCTGAATCTTCTTGTCTCAATATACTAGTGCAATGATCTTTTATACTGGCATAGAGCACTTTTTTCTAGGTTGTGCAAAGGTGGCAAGTGTAAAGACAAAGAAGGCAGTCACCATCTGGAGAGAAATCCTCAAGTTCCCAAGAAGCCAATTTTCACAATGCTAAACTTCTGGGTGGATCTTCAGAGGTACACTGGAAGACTACCTTCGAAAACTACTTTTGCTTCTGGAGACACCTTGCCCTGCCCTTGTCAACAGTAGCTGTGTATGATTTGACACCCCTGCTACTTATTCTACCCACGATAAATATATATTATGGGGATAGCACAAAGCACTGGGGCTGTCAAACCTGGTAAGACCCATGAATGCTATAATTGAGATTGAGCAAAGATTTTGTTCATCTTAAGAGCACAAATCTTTAAGGCAACTCTACCAAAAGGTTCAGAAAACCATCAGTAAGCCTGACTGCCAGCTTAGTGTCACCAGAAGAAAACAATAAATAACATTTGTTTTTATAGGATTCTGATTATTTTGTAACGGCTTATACTGTAATTCTAAAACACGCTTAAACAATTTCAATTTCAACTATTATCAGAGGTTCTCAAACTTAGACTACCAAGCCCTTTTCAAAAAAATTACTCAGAGCCTCTCCTGGAAATCTACCTTTTAAAACAAACAAACAGAAAGATGAAGTGACAAATTTGCATTGTTTTATATATCTTTATTTCTATTTACATCCTACAACAAGGTAAAGAAAAACATTGCTATAAATAAGAAACTTTGAAATTATAAAATTGTTGATTAAAATCAACCATATTAATATTCACATAACACACAGAACATTAAGATGACAAAGGATAATATTAAAATAAAAATTAATAATAACATTAAAATAATCCCAAATGAGAATCTGGTGCACTCCTATCACTTTATTAACGATCAGATGTATTTTTGTCAGGAACATGAATTACATTTTTCTAATACTTCTTCCCCTTGCTTGTCACAGTTAAGAAATAATCTAAATTAGATTACAATACAATATTTATAGTATTGTATTGCAAACAAGTAATAACATGTACATATTCCTGCTGATGCATGCTGGACTTCCCGACAATGTGCGACATGCTCCCTGCCAACACTTGCTATTAAGACTTGTCAGCGGACTTGGCCACTGATCAGTCATAACTTGCAGTTCATGTATTCATTTGAAAAATAATCACTACAACTTTAACTCTAGGTTTTACAACAGATGAAACATACAAATAAATTTTCAAATTTTCCATCTCTTCTTTCTTTTGTTTCCAGCACCCTCTTACTTTTATTCACCCCCCCCCCCCAATTGCACCCATGCTACCACCCCACTGGATCATTTCAATGCCCCACAGGAGGCACTTTGGGAATCACTGGATTAAGCATAGATTTTTAAAACTGAATGCTGTATTCAATATTTCTAAATGCCAAGAAATGAAGTGTGGGTAAGTATCTCTGAGTACTGAATTAGAAGTTAAATAATCTGTGAGCAAATGTTTTAGTAATTTTAACAGTAGTTAATAATCGTAGACATATTTAACTGATGTTATCTGTTTTAAAATTCACAAAGCTGATGTGTCTAGAAATATTAACTTCTTCTGTTTAGAAAACAAGTATTATGTATTAATAACATACCTTTTTCATCCATTTTGGCACATTCTGCAAAAAGGTCTTTTGATCCTGCATTCAGCCTATCCCTATGGAAATAGTGAGATTGAAAGAATCGTGTCCAGAATTCTTTCTCCGTCATATTGTGAGGAACATTTTCCGCATATTTCAGTTTTACTGTAAACAAATATGACAAGTGATATAAAAATTAGAAACTATGAAATAATGTGAATTTTCAATAATTTGTCAAAATATTTATATACAGATAATTTCAAAGTTTAGGGTGAAGTAGATTCCATCTGATCTTAGAAACTAAGCACAGTTGGCTCTGATCAGCACTTGAATGGGAGACCGCAAGGAATACTAGGCACCGCAGGCTAGATTTCAGAGGAAAAAACTGGAAAAACTACCTGAGTGCCCTTTGCTAGGAAAACCCTGTGAAATTCATGGGGTCATCATATGTTAACATGCAACCTGAAGGCATATGGACACACAACATATATCGAAAACTTGTTTAGGCATGATAAAAAACTAATACTCAATGGGAGTAAACTAATGCTGATCCTGAATATTTTTCAAAGAGATTAAAGGTAACACACCACCACATTACACATACAAATGGAGCACAGTTTAGCACAAGACTAACTTGAATACTGATGAGTAGAAAGTTCATTACATTATGAATAAACACAATCAGCTTATTTAACATGAACAGGGAAAGTTATATGATACACACAGCTATTATGCTCAAATACCTTAATGTTGTTTATTTTCCTCTCTGTCTTGTTACCTATTCAAATGCAATGTGATGTTGTTTTCAGCATGCATTACATTCTTAAAGCAAAGCATACCAATGTAATGTATGCAATGAATCTGGCCACATCTGTTTCTACTTGTTCAGTCAAAAATCTTTTCAAATATTTCTATTTTTGACATATGTAGAGAAGACAACTAGGTAAGACAACTAGTAAGGGCAGCAATAGGTTTGTTAAAACACTGGCTTGGGAGAATGGCAATGGTGAGAACAGAGCTGCTGCCACAGAAGATCTATCCCTCTAGAATGTCCCATCTAAGGGCCCTTCCACACTGCTCTTTATTCCAGGATCTGATCCCAGATGATCTGCTTTGAAACCGGAATATGAGACCCAACTGCCAGAAAACCTGGGATAAACAGATAATCTGGGATGAGATCCTGGGATATAGGGGCAGTGTGGAAGGGCCCTAAGGAGGGTGCATCACTCTATCTAATGGTAAAATTAATCCTGGAACAAACACAGGAAGAATCATTCAACAAGTTATGAATGTTCTGTTAACAGGACACACCTACTGGACCTTTGTTCATAATTTGTTTAATTCTTGAGAAGTGAAAAAATAAAACACCTTTTGATTAATTTGTTGGGCTCCTCTGCATCCATGTAATATAATTTTAAGTTCTACAGCCCAAATGGTGGACGTCATCCTCCACCCAGAAACGACTGGAGTGAACTGCTTAAATGAGTACCTTGAGTGGTATAATTTATTCCTTCATAAGATAGCTGTTATAAGGGTTCCGTGTATTCCTGAATGTCAGGTACACATTTTGAGTAGTGTACCGAAAATAGAAAATAAAGTGACAATTTGGTACTGGAACAAAAGACAATTATCTAGAAACATCAATAGGATTACACACAGTCTCCAAGTTACAAACAAGATAGGTTCTGTAGGCTTGTTCTTAAGTTGAATTTGTTTGTAACTCCAGCCAAATCTACCTACCTACCTATATATCGATAGCACAGGGAAGAGTTAACACCTGTCATATTTGTTTTGCTGTGCCCCTATTCAGAAGATTTCATCTCACTTTTAATCTCTGTGATAATTGGATTTTGAAAAAATTGGCTTGTTTTGGGTACAGGAATTGGTGAGAAAGTTTCAGTAGAGGCGCCTTTTCCCATAACTCTTTCAGGAGGAAATTTCTCTTTCAAGTGGTAGATTTATTTATTTACTATATTTGTACCTCGCCCTTCTCAACCCCTAGGGCAGTGGTTCTCAACCTGTGGGTCCCCAGATGTTTTGGGCTTCAACTCCCAGAAATCCTAACAGCTGGTAAACTGGCTGGGACTTCTGGGAATTGTAGGCCAAAACATCTGGGGACCCACAGGTTGAGAACCATTGCCCTAGGGGATTCAGAGTGGCCTCACATATTGGCAACAATTCAATGCCTTAAAAACATACAATTGGTATAAAAAATCTACATTGAAAACAAAGAATTAAAACACATAAAACAGTTACATCAATTATTAACATAATTAATCAATTAATGTAATTACATCAATTAATAACATAATCCAATTATCTCACTTCCAGTTGCCTCCCCGTTCTTAACTATGAGTGATTTGTAAGTCGGATGTCTGTAACTCAGGCACTGCCTATAGTTGAAAACAGCTCATACATAACTGCTTTTAATAAGATAGAGGTCTCATGCTTTCCCTCTTAGTGAACTGAGGTCAAGACTACAACCCTTCCAATCACTAATACTTAATGGGAACAAACAAATGCTGGCCCTATATATTTTTTTCAAAGAGATTAAAGATAATGCACTATCCTACTTCATATATAAAAGGAGCAACTCATTTCTCTCTAGTAGAGAGAAATCAGTTGCACATTTCAGGTACAAGATAGCTACAGCCATCAACTCTGTTATTATTATTTTTTTTAAAAAACACAATGTAGTAGTACTTTCTTTCCCCCCACACTAGTGAATGATGGATGAATGACCTGAAAAAAAGACATTAAAAAGAAAACTGGAACAGAAACTACTGTATCTTACAACAAGCAAAATGTGACATATAACTCTATTAAATAAATTATGTACCAGCAGGATAAGTCCTAAATATAGATTCAATTATATCTGATGTTAAATTATATCTTAGCCCATTGCATCCATCTGTTTGAGGTCGAACATCAGCCTGCAAATTAAAATAGAAATTGTTAGCCTACTATGACTATTATTAACAATAACAATGTAATTGTTACATTGAACTAACAGCCTATGTCAATACTATGTTTCAAAGGAGAGCGTAGTTTTTGATGTGACCGTAATCCCTCTCTAAATATAACTCCGCTAAAAATATGGTTTTACTCCTCATTACAGAAGGTACATGCTGTAAGGGAGAGTACTAAACATTTACAACCATTTAATTCCAATGTGGGAACAACCAAAGTATATGGGCTTGATAACAGAGGAATCAAGATATATCATCAACACACACAGCATTTGTTGGTGTATCAGTGTTTTCTGGAATCAAATTAATGAATTTGAATTATTTTTGGAGGCCAGACCAAAGTTGAACAATTGGGCCACCCAGTTCTTATAATCTGTCATACCGAAGTGAACGATATAAGTATTCCAATTATTATCCTTTTGCTTAAATTGTAAATTGTATAATTATATTCAATATTGTAAAAGATAAAAAACACTGAAGTAACTGAAGAAATGAACACCTCATACAGAAACTATGACACCCCATGTCCTGGCTATTTTGAGTAATTGTTTACATATACTTAAACATTTAAAAAATATACTGGACTTCTTTCAGGTTCAGTCTTGCCTTATATGAAACAAACACTTTCTATGGGCTCTTTTGTGGTTTCAAGGCCTAAGTTATGGAACTTGGAAAAATTAGGTGCTGGTGAAAGACACATTTTATGTTACTAATGCTCCGATTCAATCTTCTGACTGCTGCATTTAGAATCAGTTGAGTTTCATGATGCTGTTAAAAGGGTAGCCCAAACCTCATGCATTCAGTAATTTAGTTCTCCTGTAGCTGGCAAAGACTATTTTAAGATACTAAAACAATTTGGGAATACATAAAGATATACATGTATGTTAATTTGGAAATAAGTAAGAACTCTAATTTAGGAGAAAAGTAGGGTATAAATACAGTTAGTCATCAACATCACCACTGCCTCACAAACAATGAGGAGAGATGTACTGGTATTAGATTATGACATATCACAGTAGAAGAATGAGTTGGTCTTGGATATGTTTTCAAAAGAGAGCAGGCTATTTCACATTAACGTTCAGCACAACAGGTGCAGGTTCATAAAACAGCCTATGCAAGATGAGAAGTGATTACTTAAATCATAAGGTCAAATCAAATGGTCTCAGTCTCAATCACCAGCAAAATATGGATTTTTCCACACCTTGCAAACCTCCACAGAACTGACAAATTATATTAAGGTTTTCCTACAAGCACTAACAATTGAACACTATAAGATATTAAATATTCAAATATATTTAAATATATACATCAATCAAAACATGGCAGAATTTTTACTTTATTTCAGAAGTTTGTTTAGTTTAGAAGAGAGATTAAGAGCCACACGAGACATGTTTAAGAATATAGGCCCCTTCTATACTAAGAATTAAAGGAATTTGAAGCTAATTTGTTGTCTAGCTGCCTGTCAGGATCAGTGATGAAGACAAAGATGAAGGGCCTCTCTGCCCAGCTTCTGAGTCTGCAACAGTCTGCAACTGATCCTGGAAATACTAGCTCTACAGAGGTAATTCAGGAGCCTCAAGCAAATAAGGAGTGAGGGCATGATCAGGAACTCTCAGTAGAAGAGCAGGAGTTGAGTATCCCAGCTTGGCTGCAGTTGAGAACTGAAGGTATTCAGCTGAGAAGAACTAATAGGCTGGCTCAACAAAGAGTCATCAAGGGAGAGAAACCGGGAAAGTGGCATAAAGAGCTGAAGGCTGGACTGGTTCTGTGCTGGGAGCAACTTTCATTGAACAGCACAGCCAGAACCCCTAATGGTGAACTCTTGCTCTGAACCTGGACTTTTGATGGATTGACTACGCTTGGCTTGAACCTTAACTCTTGCTGGATTTAACTATGCTTTGGAAGACAGTTTGGATAAGTTGATGCTGCTTGGCTTGAACCCTGGACTGAAGTCTGACAATGCCTGTGCTTTGTCTCTGATGAACTGATTAATGTGCATATGATCCTGGACTAACTGACATGGTCATTGGTGAGCTGCTTCTTTGGCAGGGATTTCTGTATAGGTTCTTGACACTAATTTCAAACTGTGGCGCCAAACAAGAAACACTCACAAAAGTGTGTGAAAGAAAGTTCTCAATGGGCATTAGTATTCTGTGGTTTGTGTAATAATCTCCCAGGCCTCAAACTGGTCCAGCATTTCCTATGTAATAATCTGCACAACAGTTGTGTATGGGGGCATCTACACTTACCAGTTAATGCACTTTGAAATTGCATTCAATTGTTAGTGTTAATAACCCCATAGACAACTGTGGCTTAAATTCTATCCCAAGCGGACATTACAGTAAAGGTGAAAGCTGTTTCCTTTATTAACTAACATATAAACTCAGTGAACATACCAGAAAAGCAGCAGAAATGCCCACATCCTGCTTATTAGATGTTACAGAATTATCAGTGGCATTTATATTTAAACGGTTGGCCCAGAATTCTTCAGCACTGATAACCTGGCTCACAACAAGATCTTTATAAAGCTGAAATAAAACGGGATCTTCTTGCAGCATTCTGGAAAGAGAAGAATTTAAAATATTTTAATGTTGTGTTTCTTCGAGTCTAGTAACTATATTTTCTATGAATGTTACTAGAGGTTATTTAAAACAACAATAGGTTGCAACTAAGAACTACAAGTGATAACCCTTTAAAAATAGTTAATTGCCAAAGAGCAATTTAATAATGAGGGAAATCACTCACTTTTCACTTAGCTTTCCACATATATACTATCAATGATTTCAAACCAAATTATAGATGCCATTTCAAAATATCATTTTAAAGTAACAATTGTTTTTGTCATCACTTTGGATTTTCCCAAAACGATAAGGACTGTGGGAGAATTTGGCTACTTTTGTGCCCCTCCTGCTTTAAACCCAAGAAAAATCTTCATTTATCCAAAAAGGAAATTAAATGTCTATTAGTATGTGTGTGCACAAGTGAACTTGTGTATTCTGTAAAAAAAGTCTTGTGGGAGAAACAGATAACTTTTGTAGCAAGAGATACAAGTTCCATCTCTGACAAATCAGAGAGGAAAAAAAGATCCTACTCCATGAATACGACATGCACGGTGTATCAGGAGAAAGAAAGCAGTGCTAATTTACAAATTGGCAGATGAGACCCAGTGTCTTACCTGGACAGATATAACAAATTACAAGGAATATCTGGTATCGTGTTGAAGGCACAGTGTGTTCTATTGTCGTATAGCCGTCATTACCTGTTTTTCTCTTCCAGTTCTTTGTTTGCTTTCCTCTTGAACTTGGGTAACAACTGCTGAAGAAGGTCCTTCACTGCATCTCTCTCTTTTACAGCTGTACTTTCATTAGAAAAATGGAAGTTGGTTGTGTCTCCTGCATGGAGTACCAACTGAAGCTGAATTTTAGCTTTTCCTTCAGGACTAATTTTCTGACCTATAGTTAAAAGAAATAAAATACACAATAGAAATTTCTCCACTGATTCACCGATTTTCATCAACAAAGGAACTGTACTACATTCAGGCTGAAATCTAAGCTGAATCAAGCTCCTTTGAACCTCCTTTTAAAAGAATGTATGCAAGGTATTCGGAAAACCAAAAGTCTGCCTCATGTTTTTGTATTTTGAACGCACCGAAAAGTTGCTTAGGAGGACATGTGTTTCTTGTAGATTATAAAGATTGGGTTCAACAATTTTCTTTAATAGTTCAGTACACATCTTCTCTTGATCTCAATTACAGAAATTATGTTTCAACCCATTTTGTATACATGATTGTTATAATTCTTTATTTGTTCCCTTCTTAATATTGGGCAATACATTTACCATTTCTCTTGGACTGATTATATATATATATATATATATATATATATATATATATATATATATTAATTATTTGTCGTGTCAGAACAACCAGTCTAACAGAACAAAGCAAACAAACAGAAAAATACACAACTTCTGAGTTTGGTAGCTGGTTAAATGTCCTTTGACCAGTATCTGGCCACTTGGAGTGCTTCCGGTGTTGCTGCAAGAAGGTCCTCCATTGTGCATGTGGCACGGCTCAGGTTGCATTGCAGCAGGTGGTCAGTGGTTTGTTCTTCTCCACACTCGCATGTCGAGGATTCTACTTTGTAGCCCCATTTCTGAAGGTTGGCTCTGCATCTCGTAGTGCCAGAGCGCAGTCTGTATATATATAAATCAGCTCCTGTTTTTCTCAGGTTCTTTAAGAAAATGCCCTATAATGTGAGAAGTTGTGGTTTTCCTAATTTATGCACAAACTGATTTGAGGAATAGTACTATATCTAACAGGACTTGAAAACTCTATAAACAATTGCTGCATGCTCAGCACATGTTCAGTATTTAACAAAGCCGTGACTTACATTTTATATCTGCATACAAATGGCTGATTGTGAATCGGTCTTTTCCCTCAGGTGCCCAGGCTATTCTTTCAGCCATAAGGTAAAGAGCCCCATCTTGTTTCTTTTGACGCACCTTCTTTACTATTAATAGAACTTCTTCAGATGATGTTGCCATGATGACTATAGAGCGCTGCATTAAAAAAAGTTATTTTTGAATTTGTTCCTCATGTACAGTATTCAAACATAGAGTTTGTAAACATTTAAGCTATATGACTTAGCACACAGACCAGGATCAAAATTTGTATATGCTGAAAATTCCTTACCCAGGTATTCCAAAATACCCCCAAATTGTGGCTGAGATAGTGACATCTTTGCTTTCTGATGGTTCAGTATACACAAACTATTTCATGCAGAAAATTATTAAAATATTATGTATAAAACTGCCTTCAGGCTATGTGTATAAGGCAGGGGTCCTCAAACTAAGGCCCGGGCGGCCCTCCAAGGTCATTTACCCAGCCCTCGCTCAGGGTCAACAGGAAACGACTTGAGAACACACAACAACAACAATCCTATCTCATCAGCCAAAAGCGGGCCCACACTTCTCATTGAAATACTAATAAGTTTCTATTGGTTAAAATTGTTCTTCATTTTAATTAGTGTATTGTTTTAAAGTGTTTTTTGAACTACAAATAAGATATGTGTAGTGTGCATAGGAATTCATTCATGTTTTTTTCAAATTATAATCCAGCCCTCCAACAGTTTGAGGGACTGTGACCTGGCCCTCTATTTAAAAAGTTTGAGGACCCCTGGTATAAGGTATATGAAAAAAAAAAAAAGAATTTTATGTTTAGATTTCAGCCTCATCTCCAAGGTATCTCAATATGGCCATACAAATATTTCAAGATCTGATAAAACCAAAATATGAAACACCTCTGGTCTCAAGCATTTCAGATAAGAGATACCCCATCTGGATACACTATAATGAATAATCTGCAAAATATAGAGTTTAACTGTTAGAAAAAGGTGATTAGATTGCAGCTATCATTGGCTTATGTGTCTTTTATGATACTGGATTTGGTATCGAGGTCATTTGTCAACAAATTGCTGTATGAATGGCTTAGATCATTAATTTGCCCCTAAACTACAAAATACAAGTTATGATACCCAATATCATATGTTATTTTCATAAGGAGCTCTCCCTTTTGAGACATCAATATTCTAAAAAGGTAGTCCAAATTGACTGCATTCTACACTTTGGCTCATTTCAAATGATACTTCCATATTGATTTCACTAGGAGTGTTTGTTAGTAAATATGACTGAGTTAAATTTGGGTAGCTATTTTTTTTTAAAAGCACTATCAATTATAAACAAAAATTTAAAAACTATTTTTCTTGTGCATATGGTCTGACATAACCACTTTTAAATAAGGAACCATAATGATCAGCTATTTCATCTTTAAATAGATGTTTATCATTCTGTCCTCAAGTCTTGGTTACCAGAGTTTGTACTTATCAGTGCACACAAGCCCATTTTAACATACACATCTTTCAAGTAGCTTGCACTTTGAGAAAAATGAGCCTAGTAGGTTTGTGGTGCTGACAAGATGTTCCACCAGTGTACAACTAGTAACTCAAGCTCATCTCTGATTTCTAGCGCCTGCCAGCAAGATTTTGATTCTCGGTGTTGACCTAGCTATCTTTTCCACACAAGGGTCTGATAGGCAGGCATGGGCAAATTTTGGTCCTTTGGTTGTTTTGGATTTCAACTCCCAGAAATCCCAGCCAGCTTACTGGCCATTAGGAATTGTGGGAACTAATGTCCAAAACACCTGCAGGGTCGAAGTCTGCCCATGTCATGTAAAGCGTGTTTCATCAAGCAACCCCTGCATGGCCATAGAGGACAGTTCTACTTCTCTTTTCTTCACATAGAGCAGCTGGTATGTAAGAATGTTGACATTCCCCATGGAGAATCTGGGAGCATAAATATGACATCTCTCAAATTTTTCCTTTATCTCTGTTGCAAGAGTGCCAGTATGTTCTTCCTCAAGTCATTTTTACTCAATGTATTTTGACTGTTTTCCATAATTTGTAGAACATGTCAGTTTTCTGTCAGAAATCTCAACTAATAAATGTATGCATTCCATGTTAGTCAGAAATTCAAAATAATATTATGATATTCCAGTAATCTGGATATCGATTTAACATTTTATGCTGGAATCTTGTTTTCTGAACCACACTGATTTTTCAGCCGTTATGCTGAGTTGTTGTAATGAAACATTGATTGCTTTATGCTATTTTACTACATTTGGTTCTTTACTTTATATTTGCTTCTTTACGTTTGGTTCATTTAGTTTATATGCTCAAAGTCACTTTCTGAGGGCATGGCTCTAAAAACCAATTTCAAAATACTATAAAATGATGCTCAAATAGGGCAATAGAAGAAATAGAAGAAATCATGCAACCCTTGAAATATATCATTCCTCACAAAATTGTATATTTACTGGGAGAGCTGATAATTGCAGCCCAAGAACACTTGGAAGATCACAGAATTCCTAACTTAGTCTGGGAAGATAACCATTCAATTGAGTTAAACCACCTCAACACACTTTTTAGGGGCAAAGCTAAGAATAAATGTCACATGACATCACAGGCCAGGCAAAATATTAAAAACTGCACTGCCTTGTAGCATCAGAATATTTGGCAAGACAACGTAATTTATGCTTTGGTTTGGGCTCATTCATTTGTCAGTTGACCCACAACAGGTGGTTTGAATCCCCATGGTTTGGGAAATCATAACTGACATCATTTGAATATCACCATGGCAAAGTACAACTTCTTCAAACAGATAAGGAAGGTACTACAGGGAAAACATCCCCCCCCCCCCCAATTTGCACAGCTATGGTTTTAAAGGAGGAGAAACATTACATATGAACAGACCATTAAAATAAACTACATGCACTCATTTACACCATCATGTGATATTATTTATGGCACATGTAGACTTCAATGATTAAGTAAACACACCTGTTGGTTGCCATTTTGTAGAAAGAATTGACGTCTGTAGAACTTATATTCTTAAATTACATACATTCACATTAACTAGTTCTACTTGTTATTGCAGTAAATAACAAGTCTTGCTACAGCTGTGCAGAAAACTAGATAAACATTAGCATTTTAGGTCATAAATATTTAAATGCTGATGAGTGAGTTACAAATCATTTGGGTGTCTTTGAAAAACTACTTGCCAACACTGCCAGGATTCTATAATTGGAAATTGTGTAAACCTCTAGATTTTTATTAATCTGTCATTCAAAGCAGTACTAACCTATCCTGAAAATAGTGAAGAATACTAAGAGGTGAAGTGCAATAACATTTAATGTCCACTACTATATGCCAAAACAGAATGAATACTGTATTTTGCAAGACCGTGAATCAAAATACATTTTCAGATATTTTGCAGATGTCTTTTTCAGCCGCAGGTATTCATGTACAATACCATGCTTCAGAACAGCCATGATCTCTCATACTACCTTCTCAACTCAGTGGAAAACTCCTCCTTTGGAGTTATGCTGTACCGTTTTGCAACTCTCCACCAAGGGCCAAAATAAGGAATGGGAGAACTTTAAAATATGCTGGGCAGAGTCATAAAGATAGACGAGACCATAAGGGCCACCCAGTCCAACCTCCTTCTATGTAGGAACGCTCAATTAAAGCACTCCCGACAGATGGCCATTGAACTGCCAGGAAGTTCTTCCTAATGTTGTGGTGGAATTTTTTTCCTGCAATTTGAACCCATTGCTCTGTGTCCTAAATCTCCAGAGCTGCAGAAAACATGCCATAACATGTTGTCAAATATTTAAGCATGGCTATCATGCCCCCCCCCCCAACCAAAAAAAGCTTTCTCTTCTCCACACTATACATATCCAGCTCCCTAACTTCTTGGTCTTCCACTACACCATTTTCTAAACAATGAAAAAAGCATAGAAACAAAAGAATCCTCAGGAAAAGGGGACAGGCTACTCCCGGGAAGGCAGCATGGCACAAAGGAAAGGCACATTCCCTCTCCTTCCCGAGCGACATTCATTTGGCTTCTCCCGGCCCACTTCATGCAGCCCGAAGGGGGCCGGGAGCATTGGCCAAGAGGAAGGGAAGCCCGCGCTGGAACTCAAGGGAGGCTCGCCCCGCAGCCCTGAAGGGCCCCCTCTTCTCCTCCTCCGCCCCTCTGCCTACCGTGGCCCCTGGGCGCCTCCTGCTCTGCTCGCCAACAGGAGCGCGCTCGCTTCACAGGCGGGCCGGCGCAGAGAACCATGCGGCTCCGCCTCGCTCCCTGCCCGAAGGACTCCCCACCGCCGCCGCTTCCTGGGCCTCCATGGGGTGGCCGGGAAGCTCGGCAGAGAAAAACCACGTGACCGGAAGCAGCGCCTCCACGCGCGGAGAAGGGGGGGGGTAAACGCTGCGTCACGTGATAAAAGGACGGGGCCAGCCGGCCGCCGCCATGATACTCACCCGCTCACGTGACGAAACCTCTGAGGTGCCGCAGCACTTCCCTGGTCACGTGAAGGCCGGCCCGCCTCATCGCCGCCGCCATGACAGTGCCTGAGGAGGGGGAAAAAGGGGAGGGGAAGAGGGTGACTTGACCATAATAATAAACGCGGTCCCACCTTCCTCGTGCCTTCCTACCCTGCCATGCTGGAGAATCCGTTGTTTTACCTCGGGTCTTCTCTCGGGACGTCAAAAAGGATCCGGGTGCGTTCCAGGTCGGAAGGAGGAGGAGGGGGGGAGGGGGAACCTTCCCTGAGCAACGACCCGAAGGGGCGGGGGGAGCACGCACGCCTTGTGCGCGCGCACCCTCCACGTGACGGAGGGAGCGCGAGGAAGGGGGCGGCCGCCGGGTGACGTCATGGCTGGGCAGAGAGGGAGAGGCGGGGCTGAAGAAGGGGAGGGGGGCCAGGAAGGGGCCTGGAGGAGGAGGAGCTTCCCCCCCTTTCCTCTGCTGTCAGTCAGCTGTGTGCCGAAGGGCCGTGGTGTGCTGCCTCTAGTAGGAGAGCTTTCTGGGCCTGTGTAAGATAAACTTAACAGTTAAGTTGTTTCTCTTTTCTATTCTTATCTGTTTGTTTATCTGACTCTCGTGAACGAGTTAACGCGACGAGAAGATGACATAGAAATGTAATATGGGGCGTTATCTTTAATAGTTTGTCCGGGCTTCTAACTCTTCCCCAGGTTCAGTCAGGGCCCTTCCCCACAGTCATGTAACCCAAACTATCAAGGCAGGAAATCGCACAATATCTGCTTTTAACTGAGTTATCTTGAGTCCACACTGACATATATTCTAGTTCAAAGCAGAACATGTGAGATTGTTTGCATGGTATTCTGGGTTATTTGGCTGTGTAGAAGGACCCTCAGTTTGTTGAATCCCGTAGTGCAGTGGGTTAAACTCTTGTGTCAGCAGGACTGGAGACTGACAGGTCGGAGGTTCGAATCCGGGGAGAGTAAGGATGAGCTCCCTCTGTCAGCTCCAGCTCCCCATGCGGGGACATGAGTGAAACCTCCCACAAGGATGATAAAACATCAAAACATCCTGGGCAATATCCTTACAGACGGCCAATTCTCTCACACCAGAAGCAACTTGCAGTTTCTCAAGTCGCTCCTGACACAAAAAAAAATATTGGGAGGAAGGCGGGATATAAATTCAATAACTAAAGGAAATCAATACATCAACAATAAACTCCACAAATGCATTCAATGCAGACACGAATGCCGTAAATTAATTCACCCCCTCGAAAATATCTTGAAAGTGTGCTAAAGTGGGCCTTTTAACACTAAATGGCATCACATTTGAGGATATGGAGGTCACTTCCTTCTTCATGGGTAAATAAATAGTCCTCTTGGGAGTGCTTTGTGGCAGATGTGTTGCTATGAACTGAAGCTTCCTTGTAGCTGGACTCTGGTGCAGTTTGTGTCCCCCCCCTCCCCCCCCCCCCCCCCCAAATGAGCTGCCACTTCAAAGCCCTAGAGTCACAGAGGAAAGTAGGAAGTGATCTGAGGAACTCAGAGCCAGGTTTCAGTCTATGAATGGTGCAGTTTCTCAAATGTACCCCTGTGTTTTTCTTAAGTTTATCAAATACCTCTCTGCGTTCTTTTTAAGTTTATCACATGCACCACTGTGCTTAAAAAAACCTCTGCCCCCTCTTTCTTCAGCTTGCAGTAGAGCAAGGCAAGTCTGTAATGATTAGAAAAATATCCGGAGGTTCAAGCATGTCAGTCAGCTTGGTACTTGTTAGAAATCTTTATCAAATATGTATTATGTGGTTTTGATTGGATGGTAAGTGGCTATTTTTTTCATGTCAGGAGCAACTTAAGAAACTACAAATTGCTTCTGGTGTGAGAGAATTGGCTGTCTGCAAGGACGTTGCCCAGGGGATACCCGGATGTTTTAGTGTTGTGGGAGACTTCTCTCTTGTCCCCTCATGAGAAGCTGGAGTTGACAAATGGGAGCTCACCCTGCTCCCCAGATTCGAACTGCCAACCTTTCGTTCAGGGTCTAAACCATTGCGCCACCATAAGCTGGCACAATGGTTTAACACATAGCGCCATAATGGTTAAAGAGAGTGAAAGAAATACACAAGAACTGTACAGTTTTGCTCTTGTGGGTTTAGAGCTGTATCCTCTGTGTGATCTTCAGAGGAGGAGGACCCAGTTTGGTGGCAGGCAAGAGCTCCTGAAAAGGCTTTAGCAATTTGTGGAGCCATTTTAGGGCATATGGTTGAATTTCAGTTTGGGTTCCAGTTCCCATATTTAGCTCGAAATGTAGATTGAGCTGAATGAAGGAGCTAATTCACATATCTTTTCCTCCCACAAGTTTGAGCATTGTATGGATGCATTTCTAAGAGAGAGAAAAAATACATGTGGCATATTCATTACAACATGTGGTGGGTGGGTCCAGGGCCAGTAAGCAAGTGAACGTGCTTCTGATTGTAGTCAGTTCTTCAAAAAAGTTGTCAGAAATGCTTAACTCTTTAAACTTCAAACAGAATCTTAGGAGTAGATTCAGTTTCCCACCGATAATAGTAAACTGTGGCAAATATGGTTGAATTGCAACTGGCTGTCACTAAAAGGAAAATAACATAGGAAACACAACTCTTAATACAGGAAGCAGAATTATTTAGTTTGCCTCTGTAATTCTCTGTGAAATATGGTTTATGGTTTCAATTGGAGTCTTGTGATGGAACTAAGATTAGCATGTTTTAGATTATTTTTCACATGATAGTTTGGGATGCTTCCACATGACAGTATGTCTTCAACAAATCATAGGCTTCTGAAGATACTCTACTGACTCTTTACTCTTTCTCCTCTTCTGACCCTGCATTTAGGTCATACTTTACTTTGCAGTACAGCCAAATTTGCCATAGTTTACCATGAATAGGGAAATAAAGAAACAGCTGATTTTTTTGGCAATTCAAAGTGTCTTGATATGTTGAGACAACTTTATTGAGAGTTTTAAGTTTTGCAACATTTCTTGTTTGCAGAGAGGATGAGACGGTCAATACATTTTTGTGGGAGTTTCTGCAACTTGCACAAAATGCATATGAGCAAACTATGTTATTTCCTGTTCTAAAGCAAATAACACATCTATCATAAACAATATAATTAGTCTCCTGATGCTTTTCCTTTGAAAAAGTATATGCTGCAAAGCAGAGGCTATTGTAGGTAGCTGTTCAATTTACTCCAAATTAGTCTAAAAATGAACACTTCTCGTTCTCTCACGACAGTGCAATAAGCAAGCATTTACATTCCTCTCCATCATTATTAAACTAGAATCAGCACTTGCCCTTCAAGCCAGAATTGGGAATGTCACCACAAACCGTGGCTAATGCTAGCTTTATTGAAAAGACCACCAGCAGCTCATAGCTTGTTTGCTCATCTCAAATCACAGGTATGCAACTGTATGGTGGTCAGGAAACATTTTCTCTCTCTAAACCCCACTGCAGGCCGTACCTCTCTTTCAATGATGCTCCCAAATAAATGTCTCTTTGCTGGTGTCCTTCCCAAAACCGTTACTGGAATTTGGAGTTGGAGACCTTTAGGGACCACATGTGGATTTCATGGCTTCAAGTGGCCCATAGGCTGCACCATGTACAAATTTTAAAATATTTCTGTAGATCAACAAGAGTTGCATTAAAAGCTCTCTGTAACCAATGTTTCAATTATATATCAAATCAGAACAAAATGTATTTGTTTATAATATTTATATACTAATCTCAAAATAGTAAATAGTAAAAATAAATAGTAAAAGATAGCTTGCAAACATTTTTTACAATTATTTTGACAAGGGTGAGCCCTCACATTTACACCTTTTATCTTTAGCAAAGGAACTATAATGTCTAAATAGATTCTACTTGCCTTGGATACCATCTTCTGCCTATTGGGCTAGATAGTGTCCAGGCCAAGAAAACAGGACTGTATGTACTATTGCGCCATTCAGATAGGTGATAGCACTTGCAATTGCCACATGAATGAGTTCAGTGGACTTATTCCTCTCTCTTGGTGATATCAGTACTTTCTAACTGGGCCTTGGGGCTGGGGGAGGGGGAACCTTTCCAGAAATACCTGCCTCCGGCCTGGATAGTGTCTCAGTCAGATGGTCTTCCAGCAGACTGCTGATAGAGAAAAGAAGGCCCTTTTTTACAGGTGGGCATAGGTAGGAATATAACCTAGACAAAAATATAATTTTTGGTGATTTTATTGAAGTGTTAGGAATGCTAGACCCAGAGGGAAAAATAAATGTTTAAAGAGCCAGGTGTTAGTTAAGCAGTGCAGAAATCATATTTCTCACTTCTTTCCTACAGGTGGATCTGGAAAATGAATTGGTAACAAGTGTGCTTCATTGTCTTTTTGTGTGTGAGTGATGTCAGTGCCAACGATACCTGAATCTTACAGTCATGTACTGTCAGAATTTGAATGCCTTGATCCATTGCTTTCTGCTCTCAGATTGGATTCTAGTCGTCTCAAGGTGCGTTTGAGTTCTTGTTGTAGAACTCTTGCTATATTTAAAAGTCTCATATCCTTGTATTTTATGACAGTTATTGAGGGGCACATTTATTTGGGATATTTTGGATTTTGAATGTATTCCAGAGGCAGAAGATATCATTTGAACTTAATTTGGGCAAAATGAATGAACAGCTGTGGCCCTCCAAGTGATGTTAGACTACAACTCTCATGATCATACTGGATAAAGTCCAACAACAACTGGAGGGCCACTGGTTGTCAACCCTTTGGGTAAAACCTTACAGCTTTTTCACTTGAAAAAAACCCCAAAATAATTAAAAACAAGGGATGATAAATTGTTGTTGAAAAAGTAGGCAGAAATCTTGATGAGAAATTGTTTTTCTGATTGTCTTATTTAAGAAAGAATTGTGTAGATTACAAATTATGTATTTAATGAAGTGGAAGAAAAATATGACAGTTTATAGTAATGATTTTAGGAAATACATGGGGCAGCCTGTGCCATCAGTAATCATTCAAAAGAAGTAAATAAGTTCATTTAATCTCAGTAAATCTGGTTTTGACTGTAAAATTAAGCAGAGTTCAGTAGTTATTTCTCTGATTTAGAATCCAGGATTCGTTGGTAGTTTCCAGCTAAATGATCCCCTTGATTAAAATTTGGGCAATTGAGACTCCCTGTTTCACAAAAAATGAAAATAAATGGAATAGCAATACTTATTTTTAAGGGAAAAAACAGGTTACATTGGGAAAGGTGTTAGTACACTCTAACGCACACACATATTTTTATGTGTGAAAATGTTTATATGTAATGTTCATAGGGGAAAGGAAAGAGAGAACAAAGTTTAGAAACTACAGAAAACTTTAGAGGGGAAGATAATAAAAAACTCAACAATTCCATCAGAAATATTTGTCAAAGTCACAATCCAAATGTGAAATTTGAAAAAAAATGTCTAAAAAGGTGAAACATATAGCTCTTGCTTTGCAAATATATTTTACATTTCTCAATCATCTGCAAAAAAAAAAACCCTGTAAAATTCCTTTTGCATTGGATATTTATTACCTAAATGTTAGTCCTTAATAAAATAAGGAGTTAATATAAAAGAGAAGCTGATGTGTCCGATGTCACAACCATGCTAGAAACAGACATATGTCTTAAGAGATCAGCATGGTTAGTCTGCATTATGTTAAAATAATGACTTCGAACATAGAGACAATGTTTTGCAATCACCTTTCTCTTTTTAAGTGCACGTGTGTAGCAGTTTCTCGAAAATGGCTGGCACTAGGTAGTTCAGGTGGAGGTCTGAACCTTATTCAGAGGGAGAGCTGGAAACAGAGGCTTTTTCTCACTCATAAGGTAAGACTGAGGGAAAATTTTCAGGAATCTCAGACAGAGGATAAAATGTAATTTGAAAAAGCTGAGAAGGCTGTTTCATTAAAAACCCCAATGATAAATAAGTCTTTGATTTAAGAAACATATCAAAAAATTTTTTTACTAAGTACTGTAGCAGTGGTAAAGCTCAGACTTTGCAGATGCTTTTTCATTTATTTATTTGGGACATACTTTCAAAAAAATAAAAAGTGTCTAGTTCAATAATGGGGACTAGAATTTATGATGAAGATGTCTGAGTCATCAAAAGTATATTAAAAAGTGATTAAAGGTGGAAAATTAACATGGAAAACTTGGGTTGCAGTTGGGAGCCATGGCTGTGGCATTGAATCTTAGCAGGAGAAATTTGACAATTTTTTTTTTCAATAGGAAGGTGCCATTTCCCGCATTGCCTTTTGCTTACACGATGAGGACTATGTTGCTGTATCTACAAGGTGGGAACATTATGAAAAGTTAGTTTATGTTTTTAAGTTATAGTACTGATTTTGTTTGCTATTTGCATGGATAGTGCAATGTAATAAATGATACAATGCGAATAAATAATACTGTACAACTAAGCTTCCACTTACAGTTTTTTCTTATGCCCAAAACTATCAAATTATGATTGATGCAAACTGCTCTTACATGTTCTGGTCAGATAATAAGCCAATGTTCACAACATTTAAGCACAATGATAATTGTGGTTTACTGAAACCTAATATTAGAAGTATGTCAGCCTCCCCTTTTGCAAACAGTAGAAGAAGATGAGATGGAAGGAATGCAAGAGCCCATTGTGTTGTTCATTACCTTAGTTACAAAGCCATGATTCGTCACTGCATCTGAAGTATTTATTTATTTATTTATTTCTGCTACTTATACCCCGCCCTTCTCACCCCCGAGGGGGGACTCAGGGCGGCTTACAAAAAGAAGGCACAATTCGATGCCCTTATCCCAATACATACATATATAAAACAATTAACATAATTAAATAATTAACAGATTAAAAACATCAATATAAACACAATAGCACAATAATAAACAGTCTCATGGTCAGTGTTTCGAGTTCCATAGGTCCAATACGTTTCGTCATTATTTGCCCATCATTATGGTCTTTCTTTTTAGCTGCCAGAGTTTCCAAAAGCCTGGTCCCAAATCCAAGTTTTCAGCTTTTTCCTGAATGAGAGAAGGGAAGTCGCTGATCTGATCTCCCCGGGGAGTGAGTTCCACAGGTGGGGGGCCACTACCGAGAAGGCCCTGCTCCTCGTCCCCGCCAGTCTCACTTGTGATAAAGGCGGGGTCGAGAGCAGGGCCTCCCCAGAAGATCTTAAACTTCGGGTGGGATGTAGAGGGAGATCCGTTCGGACAGATACAATGGGCCGGAACCGTATAGGGTTTTGTAGGTCAAAACCAGCACTTTGAATTGTGCTCGGAATTGGATCGGCAGCCAGTGGAGCTGACAACAGGGGGGTGGTATGCTCCCTGTATGCCGCTCCGGTGAGCAATCTGGCTGCCTCCCGCTGGACTAGTTGGAGTTTCCGAGCAGTCTTCAAAGGCAACCCCACGTAGAGTGCGTTGCAGTAATCCAGTCGGGATGTGACAAGAGCATGAAGTATGCCATTGCCTTTTTGATTCTTTCTCCACCCCAATATGTTTTTCTGCATCTAGTAAACTTTTAGTATTGACCTTGCTATGACAATCTGATGGGAGTTACATACTACAACTATAAGGCCACAGGTTTGCCACTGTATGTTAATGATTAAAGAGGGACAAAATGCATGTGGCAAAAGATTTGGAATATGAGGAGAGTGATTTGAAATAATCTTTTCTTTGGAATTACCAGTTGACTGGATTTTGTAACATAATGTTTGTAAATAGGATTTAAATATTGTTAAAAGCTTAGGGTTTGATACTTTTTTTTAACCAAAGAACTTACATTAATATCCACTGGACACTCTTACTGGATATACAGGGTGTCCCAAAAGTCAACATACATAGGGAAAATGGGAATTTGTAGCCATATGTACCTTTACGTACAAAATATTAATTACAAAATGTTCCTATGTACAGAGGCACTCTGTAGTTGGGGGAAATACATTTCACCCTGTAACTCGTAGCATCAGCTTCCATTCTTAAAGCAGGGAAGCAGGAGTTTCATATCCATAATTGTGTTCATGGGAGTTTTAAGTACAGGACTTTAATACTGTAGGTATGCTAGGTGCTTTGTCCTTTCTTGAATTTGTGGTTTTTTTAAATTCAAAACTAAACTTGCAGGATTGTCTGATTTATCATTAACATTATGTTTTATTTTATGTTTATTATATGGTCATTATTATTGAGCATTGTACAGTCTGTTGGCTTGAGAGTTAAATCTTCAAAACAAACAAACATGTATACTTTATTTTTACAGTCAAGGCCTCATTGTTGTCTGGGAACTGAATCAGGAACGTCGTGGGAAGCCAGAGAGAATTTATATTTCATCTGAGCACAAAGGCAGAAAAGTGACAGCTCTGTGTTGGGATACTAACGCACTACGTGTTTTTGTTGGAGATCATGTGGGGAAAGTATCTGCTATCAAAATTAATACATCTAAACAAGGAAAGGTAAATTTTATGATTGAAATCTGGTACAGTTTTCCTTGTTTTTCTGAAATAATCCAGTGTGTGTGCATTTCTTCTGTTTTTTCTCTATAGGCCACCACCTCGTTTGTGATGTTTCCTGTTCAGATTATAACCACTGTTGATTCTCGTGTTGTTCAGCTCGATTATTTGGATGGCAGGTTGCTTATCTCTTCTCTTACTCGCTGTTACTTATGTGACACAGAGAGGTAATCAATCATCATTATAGTAGTGGGTTGTAGTTTTTTGAGCTATATGGCCATGTTCTAGAAGATATAGTAGTTAATTAATTAATCATCATAACAGTAGTGTCTGGGATATAACTTTGATACACTATAGGCTCGTGAGCTATCCCCAGTATTACTTAAATTTTGTTTTAAAACCCCTCAATATTTTTAACTGCAAAAACACATAACCCTCTCACTCTGGGCTTTAGGGGTCAATTTGGTGAGTTCTGGAGGTTGTGTACAATATGTTTTAAGCTGATGGGTAATGCTTTCCCCAATTTTTCATCAATTCTTGTTTGGCAAAAAAAAAAAAATCTGATCATTAAACCAAGCAAATTACTCTGCAGACCTGGTGCAACTAGTCTCTCCTTGGAGCCTGTGAGCATTATAAAAAAACAAGTTTTAAAACTGTAGAATTTGGTGCATGGATTGTGTGTTGGAGCGGTTAAATGTTGAGTGTATATGCCCCAAATAACTGGAGACGTTGCCTAGACCATCTGCAACAGTGTTTATAATGCTATGCACCTTAAGTACTACTAATTCTGTCACATTGTTATTTGCAGGTAATAACAGTTTATGCATTAGATTTTATCTTGGGTTTTGTTTTTTGTTTTTGTGACCAGGTCATCCAAGGTTCTCTAGTACATTAAAATACAAGCTTTACAACTGTAATTCCCCTTCATTTTCCTAGACCTCAAAAAGTAGTTCCCCTGAACTTTTCTTGGTATTTTTGTAATAGTTCCCCTGTGGTCAAGATTAGTTTGAATGAAAAAAATGAGTGAGTTGAGAATGTAAAGTAATAGATGCATAAAAGGAAACATGTATTATTTACAAAAAGGGTCTAGTTCAGGCTATCACAGACCCCAGCCCATGGGTGAGATGTGGCCCCTTGGGTTGCTTTCTTCAGGCTTCCTCGGTCTATCTGTCCTCTCAGCATGAGGATGTGGTGGCCCACCATGTCCCCATCCTGAGAAGAGAGCCAGGACAGAGACATGTCTGCTGAGAGCTCTCTGGACCTCTCGGCAGCTGCTTGTCTCTTTGTTATCTCAATATGAGGATGCGTTGGCCTGCTGCATACCCATGCATACCTGTGCTGAGTGGACAACCGAGTATGAAATCCTCCTCTCAGCAGGATCCTGCAGGTACACACGGCTGCAGGTTCTTCTTTTAGCAGGGGGGCGCAGCAGCCTCTCCCCGCCTCTTCTCCAAGCACCAACCCCCCCCCCCCCAGCCTCCCTCTCCTCTGTGCCAACTTCCTGCGGCCTCTTTCCTGCCCTGCAGTGCGGCCCTCATCATAAAAAGTTTGTCCATGCCTGGTCTAGGCATACATCTGTAGGAGTCTTCAACAAGTAGAAAGGCACTCCTATTTATGTTAGGCAGCTCTGCCAAATTCTTCTGATTTTCATGTTCTCTTATAGATGCCCCATTGTAAGTTGTGTTCACTGTGTTTCCTAATCATCATGAATGGGTTTTTAGGTTGCAGAGCTTGCAGGAAAATCTTATTTATATAGCAGTTCTGTTTGTTTGTGTCTGGATCCCATCTTTGGTATTTTATGTGTCAGTATTGTGCCATAACACTATTCATTATATGTATGTTAATTCTTTCTGTGCAGTCTTGAAGGTCTTTTAAAACTGTGTTTTGTTGTATTGTTGAAGGCTTTCACGATCCACTTCAAAGATTCTTAGTGTACAGGGGAAAGGAAAGGAAGAATGAATCTAACCATTTTATTTTGGCATATGTTTTCATGGGGTACAACTCACTTCTTAACTTTATGCTTAAATCTGTGATTCTCAACCTGTGGGTCCCCAGGTGTTTTGGCTACAACTCCAGAAATCCCAGCCATTCCACCAGCTGTTAGGATTTCTGGGAACTGAAGACCAAAACATCTGGGGACAAACTGGTTGAGAACTACTGGCTTAAATGAACCAGTGACTCTTAAAAGGTAACATAACACTCATTTTTTCATTATTGAAATAAGTTAACAAACTATCTCTGAAAATCCATATCAAAGGGTTTCATTTGGAAGACAACACCTATTTGATTCTAGCAGTATTTTCTTCTGACATTTTGCCTGCATCTGTGACTGGCAGATGCATCCTCTGAATATGTCAGCCACAGATGCAAGTGAAACATCAGGAGAAAACACTGCTATAACATAGTCATATTGTCTGGAAACCACACAACACCCCTGTTTTTTTTCTTTGTCATCTTTTATAAGGTTAAATGTTCTTTTCTTGCATTTTTGTTAAATAGGGAAAAGTTTTGGAAAATTGGAAATAAGGAGAGAGATGGTGAATATGGAGCATGTTTTTTCCCTGTTGGAAGGACGTGTGGAAGCCAGCAGTCTCTGATATATTGTGCACGTCCTGGTTCACGGATGTGGGAGGTGAACTTTGAAGGAGACGTGCTAAGTACACATCAGTTCAAGCAGCTTCTTTCATCATCGCCTCTCCCTATTGTTACTCTAAGGTATTTGCTCTTACTCATAGGCTGTACTGGGCAGGGAATTGCTTATGTAGTGTCAATGGTTATCATAAATCCTTAGATGTTAAGTTCCATTTAATTGTGTTCATTCATAGGAGGAAATATCCTTCTGTATGCATATGTGAGTGAAGGGAACCTGGGTCAAATTAAAGCATGGAGTCTGTTAAATGTGATCAGAATATTTTTCAAGTAGCATACCTATCATGCATAACTGTTCATTCTTTAGCACTCTTGTCTTCTAATGAACGGTGTGCAAATGTGGTTTCAGTCAGTGTTATCTATGTCATTCATTTACACAATTCTACAGATTCACATTGGTGTGTAAAAGGGAACTTGTAGCACATTTGAGGCTAACTGAGAGAAATAAATTTGTGGTATAAGCTGTTCTCTTTTAGTCAATATCAAAAAGACACTTCAGGATGCATTTGCATAGTCATACAGCTGGATTCATCTGCCAGCCAAAGTGCAAACATCTTGCATAGAATGGGCTTATAGTTACCAAGATAGAACCAGCCTAACACAAACATAAAATAATTCTTTTTTAAAGGGAGGATTTGGAGTGTACTGTTTCTGCCTGCTCCCCTCAGTCGTTGGCTTTCCCCAGGCTGCTTTATTTGAGGTAAACAGAAAACAATTGTTTAATATTTATTGGCAGATTATTGATTCATGTTTAAATATTTCTTCCATAACATAGTAAATCACTTTTTTGTTTCACTTTCATTTCAAGGAGCTTTAGATGGCATCCTTATTTTTCTTGTTCTTGATTTTTGTTAACAGAACAACCCTGTGGAGTGGTTAGGCTGAGTGGCAACAAAAGTTACTTAGTAATGTTCATGGTTAGGTTAGATTTGAACGCAGGTGCCCCTGCCCTGTGTTTGATGTTTTGATGACTCCATGAAGTTGCTGCTTGTTACAGAATAATTCCTGTTAATTTTATAAGAATGTCAGAAAAAATCATGGTCTTCTTATTTATAAATAAACATATTTTCTTGACTGAGCGACAGTTTCTGTAAGAGGGTAGACCAGGAAATTGAACGCCAGTACCTTTGCTATCTTGCCTGCAAACAGAAAGAGCTGGTTTTCACACACTTGTCGTCTAATTCTGCGCATGTTTTTTGGAAGTAAGTTCCACTAATATTTGTAGGCATTACTCTCAAGTAAGAGGGCACACCGCATATGTATGAACTACCCTCACTCTCCTTGTATGGAACACTGAAAGAAGGAGCTCCCCTCCATTATTTTCTCTTAGGTTAAGCTTTGACTTCCTTCTCGGTATGGACAGTGTTTTCATTTTGTTTTAGGATTTAGAACCAAAGGTCAAGTTTAACCATGATAAATTGTTAAGAGGAGAAAGGAGGAAATAAAAGGCTTGACTAAAAAAAACAAAAACTTGAGTAAATTATCAAGAATTAAGTAAATATACAGTAGTATGTTTTGTAAATAAATTAAGTCAAAATGATTAATTTTTAACATGTTCACCTACTATATATAATCATGTATGAGTCAAGAGCAGGTTTTGTGGCCAGAAGTATGCTGCCTTGGGAACATCACTCCCATTTTCCCACTCAAAGAGAGATGGGACAGCAGAGTGCAGGGCGAGTGGGGGGGGGGGGGGTTGGTTCTTTTTTAGATTTTCTCTCTTTTTGCTACACTACTCAGAGAAGGGAGTTCCTTTCCTTGATAAGAGTTAAGGTACAGTATTTGCATTAGCTTGTGGATTCAGTCAATTCAGTTTTTTGGGATTTTTTTGACTAAAATTTCTAGACTTATGTATAAGTATATATGGTAAATTTAACCAACCAATAAGTCAATTGCATTTGGACTTTTTTATTTGTCTTACTGAATTTATGCGGATTTATTGACAAATCTAATCTTTTAAGTCAATTTGCAGTCTACCTATCTCTGGTTTACTTCTTCGTTTCCTGTTGTTTCCTGTTGTTTGGCTTGTTGGATGAGAAATCCAAAACCATTTTGGATACTCACATTATCTTCTGCATCATCTTTTGTTTACAGTGACCACTGTGTCATGACATGGACAGAAAGAGGCATTTATATTTTTCTTCCCCAGAATATTCAAGTTTTGGTCTGGAGTGAAATTAAAGGTAAAGCATATGTTGGCCAGAGAACTCAGTTCTTAAAAGTTAGCTTTTATGTGATTTTGAAATAATACTACATACATTACTAGGAACATATGTTACAATGGAAATTTTGAATATTAAAACTTATCTTATTAGAAAGTAAATTTTATTATAGATTGAAAGTATATTATCACCTCCTTTCTTTGCATGTACAGAAATATATCCCTGTAAATCAGCATACATGGACACAGGAGTACTTTAGATTCATACATGATGTTTTCCTTAGGTGTCAGAATGAGGTTAAGTCCACATTTGGAAATATATAGTGTTGAGATTTTCATTTTTTAATGTCAAAACAGACAGAAGTAAATAACTTGTTATATATAAGGTGGAGGGAAAATGTTAAAACTATAAAGAAAGGGACAAAACGGATATAGGATATCTTTTTTAAAAACTAATTTATGTATTTATGTTTGAATTTTAAATGTATGTTTACTTAGAGTATGGATGTGAATTGGTTAGAGAAATGTCCAATTATGTTTATTTACAGCCATTGTTGTTTTCTTTATTTGTGGTTTTTCTAATAAAAACTTGAAGGGGAAAAGAACCAGATTGATGTTACTTTAGCTTTCTACAACATATTTTGGGGGGCAGTTTTCAGCAGCTCTTGATAACATGAATATTAGTGAAGAACCATGGGAATAGAAATGTAGTAGTCTGGAGGGCACTGGATTCAAAGAGGCAGCACTGACGTAAGAGAACTAAGGAGGTACCTTTCCCCAGGATTAAGACTGAAGCGATGTGAAGTTTGCATTGTTTGCAGCCCTGAATTTGGTATTGCATAGTTGGGGTATTTTATGCCTATGATCTTTAGGCAGAAGACGAATCTTATCTTATCTTATCTTATCTTATCTTTCATATATTTGTTAGCAGAAAGGCTTAATGGGGGAAATAAGATTGGTGAAACATTGTGTGCTGTAGTAGAAATCTGTATCCAGACTGATGCCTTTGATCATCTGTTTTATCTAGATATTCAAGATATTGCAGTACATAAAAATGAACTCTTCTGTTTGCACACCAATGGAAAAGTCTCCCATCTTTCTCTTCTGCCTGTTGAAAAATGCATAGAACGTTTACTTAGGCGAAGCTTATGGACCCTTGCAGCCAAAATCTGCTGTCTTTTCCAAAATTCTGTTGCCTTGTGTCGGGTAACCAAAATGAACTTTTTTTATTATTATTCCCACCCTTTTTAAATAGTTCTCTTGGATGTGTTTTCTAAGAAGTAATATTTCAGTGTAAACATCTTTTTCTATCCCATTAATTTACTTGAAGGAAATTCACAGAATTGATTTCCCTTCTTCCTCCCAGGTCTTTAGAACATTTTAGGGAGGCTTTCTGAAGCAGTACAGGGTTGGTTCAGTGTAAAGTGGAGTTATAGCCATCTAAATGTTGCACCTTTCCTTTTCCCAGCCTTTGACAGCTTCTCCCACGTAGTTCAGTAAGGCTAAAGAGAAGGGACAGAAAGTGAGGCTTTCTTTATGTGATTCCTTAAATTAATTTGATCTTTTGATTTAAGATATTGTGGCACATGGTATCACAGCTAACTGCTTTTGTATGACTTAATTTTCCTCTGCAACCTTAACACACTTAGAAGCCTGGTATTTTTCTGTCTAATCAAAATTTCATTTTATGTATCAATAGGCAAGAAAAGCTCTTCCTATAGATAAGCTAGAACACTTGAAAGCACAGTTGGATCTTTCAACTCAAAGTGATATCATTGCTCAACTTGAAGAACTGATATCAAAACTTGAGCCTCTGGATTCTGCATGCAGCAGTAGGAGAAGCAGTATTTCTTCACATGTAAGCATATTCCTTTAAGACTCTTTAAATACAAAATAATTGGCTAGATTTTTATTCCTTTGTTTAGTAAGGTGTTCTGCCTTCTGCCTTTCTTTGAAGTGTTAAATGCAATATGCATTAAATCTGTTTCTAATTGAAACCATTACCTTGAACTATAAAGTAAATTCCAAGATGCTTTTATTGTGATCTAAATTGGGTGGCATACTAACTGGTGCACAGAGAGACAGAATACAATAAACCTAGGAATTGGAGGCTTCTCCCTGAAAATTGGGTTCAGTTTTCGTACAAATCCAACTGAACAGATATGCTTTAAACCTCTACACTTATCTGCATATTCGGGTCCACTCCTGTTTTCTTATATATGTACTGGAGTATTGCTGTTCTTTGGAGGTCTGAAATTTGCAGTTACTATATATTAAGATGTTAAATATTTCCATTCATTTTTCCCTGTTGAAAGCAATGGCCTTTGCAAGTGCTTGTATTTGTTTATATCATTTTGCTGAATGGTGAAGTAATGCTTAAGTACGTCCCATTGATTCAGTGGGTCTGCTGTCGTTGAAAGTAGCAACTGGACTTAGACTTTGGGCTTACACTACATTTTAAACATTGCTTTGAAAGGGAAGACTTTTACATTTTTCTAATTTCTTAATAGGAAAGTTTTAGCGTATTAGATTCTGGAATTTATCGTGTTATTAGTCGAAGAGGGAGTCAATCTGATGAGGATACTTGCTCCTTACATAGTCAAACCCTATCAGAAGAGGAAAGATTGAAAGAATTTCAGACACAGCAGGAAGAAGAGCACATGGAATTAGGTAATGTAAAGGTTTCTCTGTCAATCTAGTAAAGAACTGGCATGTCTGATCTTTTGCATACGTGAAATAACTGTTCCGTGTTTTCTGTTGTCAGTAGTACGGTACCTTATTGTCATGTGAGTGATATTCCTAACAGTCCATATCTTTTCTTCCTATCTTTAACTTTAATTCAGTTTAGATCAGCATTCAGCCTCTAGTACTGGCCAGCTAGATAATCTCAAGTTACTTAAAGGCAAGCAAGCAGCAATTAGAAACAGATTGATTTCAATGGTTATGAGAAGTAAGCAAAAGGGTCCCCCAAAGATATGTTCTGAAACAATTACCAGCAGGTTTTTTTTTAATGAATGGCTACCTTGTGTGCTATTCAGGGTATATCACATGTAATTAAAAGAATCACTGTTCTGACTGATTGCATCTGAAGAAGTAGACTGGGCACACAGAAGACTGGGCAACTTGGAAGGCACTGAACACACTGTGCTCTGGCACCATGATGTGGAGCCAGCCTTAAGAAATGGAGCCACAAAGTGGAGTCCATAACATGCGAGTGTGGAGAAGAGCAAACCATAGACCACCTATTACAATGCAATCCAAGCCCTGCCACATGAATATTGGAGGACCTTATTATAGCAACACCTGAGGCACTCCAAGTGGCCAGCTCCTGGTCAAAGGACATTTAATATAATGCCAAGCTTTTAAACTTGGTTTGTGTTTTTTAAATACATTACAACTGTATCATTGGTTCACTTCTGATACGATAAATAAATAAATTCCCTCAGTTAATACTTAAGGTGCTACAAGATCTCTTTGCATAGTGGTATTCCAGACTATTATGTCTATGTTTTTGAATTGTCTATTGACTAAGTCAAAATTGCATCTGGATGTCTAATATGGATTCTAGCAGATAGTTCTTTTAGATTCTGCATTTTACCCGATTACTGTCTAAACCTCAAACATAGGTATGCTTTTAGTTTATGAGTAGTGTGTTCTGGATCTATATTGTCTTTTGTTAGGCATTCTGAAACTAAGCTGAAAGGTTATACAGGTAACTTGAAAAGTTTTCCTAAACTTCTTAAATCATTGGAGCAATGGGGTACAGAATGCATTACCTCTTTTTGTTTGGTTTGGAAAAGATGGCAATAAGGACTGAATAAGGCAATTCCAGCTGTGTGGTTTTTGAGTTGCAAGAGGCAAGGAGACATTATGGGAACCATGGCATTCAATCATTCCTGTTGTCAGACCATTTTATTTTATGACTTTAAGCATTTTTTAATTTTGTTTGTTAGACAACGTGTCTCATGCTTCTGTGGTGGTCGACACTGATCGGAATGAGACTTTTCTTCCATTCAGTATTCCATTGTCATTCCGTTCCCCATCTCCTCTCGTCTCTCTTCAGGCTGTCAAGGACAGGTAAAGTCATGTGTGAATTCCTTGTCCATTACATCCTTCTCCCTCTCTTCTTGTCCAGTCATTACACATAATGTGTTAATCCTTCCCCAGTTTTTCAAACCATCCTAGATGCTTTGAAGCTAGCCTGAGAAAATGGTGAAAAAAGAAGTAGTTTTCTCTAGGATAGGTTTTGCCTAATTTCAAAATCTGGATGGAGCTGATTTTAACTTTCTCTTTAATGCTGCATGTTATCAACATGATAACATATAATCCCAGATGCTGTCAATTTAGGAAGGGTGAATGAATAAAGAAAGTAAGAAGGTGCAAGACTGTAGGAGGGAGCTCCAAAATGAAGCCCTCAGTTCCTGATAGTTGCCCATCCCAGCTTCAATTATTTCCTGCTCATTTGATAAGAAATTGAGGAAACACAAATGTGCCTCAGCATTGAGGAAACATGAATATGCCACTTAAAGAATTTAGATTTTGCACATAATAATTACCCATATTTGAGGCCACTAGGAATGCTGCATTTCACAACTGAAAAATGGGAATCGTCATAATGGAAGTTTCAGTCTGTGGCTTTCAGTCAACAAATTCCTCATGAGTTCACACATATTCTATTTTTATTCCTTTTTTTGTTTCTGCCTGATAAGTCAGCACAGCCACTTTTATAAAAAGTGTCTGTTTCTTCTTTGAACATATAAGAGTCAGGAATTATTTAGATTTTTGAACTATGGTATATATTTGTGTAGAAGCTATAAACTGAGGGCAGGTTTGCGGGAAGGCAACGTTATGGATTTTGATGTGATCCATGGGTAAGTCAGAGGTCATTCTGGAGAGGGAAAATAACCAGCTCTGCCTGAAAGAGCCAGTCACCTCTAGCTGCCATTTCTGTTTTCCCACCTAGGCATCCAAAAAGGTATACAGGCAATGCATGTAATCTTGAATGAGTGGTTGCTATTGATTTCATTTACTTTCATAGCCACATAATATCAAGGGACCTGAAATATGAAAGAAATTGTACTGGAGATGTTTGGGTGTACTATCAAGTAATGCATTTAGGATTTGGGCTTTGCTCATTAGTTGTTATGGTGGGTACAGGCCATAAATATCTGGGCTAGTATTTGAGCTTCCAATTTAATGCTGTAAAGGTTTTGCTTATACTCATACCTTAAACCTAGCAGCCAGCTTATTATTGTACAAAACCTTTTAGCCATAGAACTTTTATATTTTCTTCAGTTTTGCTGTAAAATCGATACTGCTCTTATTCTAAAATACTTCCTTATGCTTACCAAAATAATAATGGCTTATATTTTTCTACGTATTGTTGGTATACAAACGTGTCAGTCTGTTGTATATACTCAAATTCTACATGTAAAAGTTCATGCTATATTAAAACTGCTTTATTGCAACTAAGTTCCCTTTATCTGCCTCAGTGTAGCATTCAAACCTTGCTCGTGATTGTACACTTGTTATATTTGACTTTTAGTGTTTCTAGTTTTGTACGTAAAACAACAGAGAAGATTGAGAAGATGGGTACTCATGTCACTCCTGATAAAACCAGACAAGACTTTAGAGATGAAGAAGAACAACTTCCAGAAGTGACTGGCAATATACTTGAACAGCCACAGGATGAAGAGTGAGTATATATTCCTTCTAGCTTGTGCTAAGTTCCTTTCCCTACAGTAGGAATGTGAGGCAGGATATATAATTTGTGTAATCTCCATTACTTATTAAAACTAACATTGTGTTTTTAAAGGGTTGAACTGCAGAACCAGCCCCCAGAAGAAGAACTGCTTAAAGATTTGCGGGCAATAACTGCCGAGACTCTGTAAGTGCGACTTAACATATTTTGAAGATGACATAGATAGCAAAGGAAGGGAAAAACCAGAACTTTTGAGGAAGGGCAATATCAACATCATAAATACATTTGCAGATATATTAGGATGTGGAGAATATACTGGGATGTGCCCTTCCATTCATAGAAATGGCAAAGGCTTTTGCTACAGAAGTATTTGAAGAAGGTGTGGTTCTCACTGGTCCACCTAAATAACTTCTCCCCGCTATTCACAGTCCTACAGAGTAAGTCTTCTTTGTGGTGTACAGAGATGTGGTGGAAGAACGACTGACTCTGCAACCCTCTTATTCCATCCTCCTTTACCATCAGTGTTATTTGAGTAGAAATGAAGGATGGCTTTTTTCATATGTTTCCCTGCTGGATAATCATGTGCAAGGCATTTACCGATACAATGGGAATAGATTTTTAGAATAGTATTCACCCAGTGAAGCCATAGAATCATAGAGCTGGAAGAGACCTCATGGGCCATCCAGTTCAACCCCCTGCCAAGAAGCAGGAAAATCGCATTCAAAGCACTCCCAACAGATGGCCATCCAGCCTCTGTTTAAAAGCCTCCAAAGAAGGAGCCTCCACCACACTCCACAATTTTGAATAACAACGTACTGCTGCACTCTGGCATGATAGAGCTGTGACAGATAAGCAAAGTTTGGCCTGTGGAGCCTTTATAACATCCCAGATTCCTCTATGTAGTTCATGTTTCCCAATTCTTAAAACAATTTTTCTGAAAAGTGCCCCCCCCCCCCCCCCCACACACACAAAATAAGGTTAGGTACTATTTCACTTCAAAAATACCATTATAAATGAATAAATAAATTCTTCAAAACAGCAAACTTCCAGTCACCACCCTTGTTACAGTTGTCTGCTCCACTCTAGGGACTCAGGTGGTTATTTTATTGGGATGTTTATCCCCAAAAAGTCTTTAAGGCCTGGAAGTGCTTTCATCAAAACCAGAAGTGACCTAATGTTTAGGAAAATGGGTTAACTTCTAAGCCCAAAGAAGCTGGAGAAAGTCAAATATTTTGCAACCCCCCCCCCCCCTTCACGCAGACAGTGCATGGCGATTTTTCAATAAACAAATAGTTTAAATTAAATAGAGGATGGGCTGGGGGAGTGTAGTTCTCTAGACCTAAGGATACTGCCCAGCCTGATGTAGTCTGTGCTTGATTCCATGTAGGACCTATATTTATTTAGAAAATGAGGAAAACAGGTTTTTATATATTTGGAGTCTGTAGTAATCCTCCATGCATTGATTTGACATTGGTAGATTCTGCCCAGAATATTAATAAAAGCAATTATGTGTTATAGTCTTCTAGAAGCATATGTTTTAAAGTTCCACAACAGCAAGTTGAATTACATTTCATGAATATCCAAAAAAAAAAAAAAGCCTGCATAAGAAAGAATATTGTGTCCTGAATGCCAGTTGTCTTAAAGATGAACATTTATGGAGAAATATATTATTAACTCAGTCTCACGCTTATGCATTGTTGGTGCATTTGTTTTGACCTTTTTCTAATTATAACTTGAACTTGTGTTGTAACAGAATCAGACTGCAGGACCCACTGGTTTTCTTACAACCACATTTATTGAGGGCAGCTCTGCTAGACTGGATTCCAGTTTTAGAAGAAACATTTGGATTCAACACATCTACCATTTTAGATAATGGCTTATCTAAAACACACAGAATGATATCTTTACAAGCTGAAGAAAAGCAAACTTTTGAAGGAGATAAGGACCCGGATAAATGTCCTGAATGTGTAGACAAGGAACAGCTCTCAAGGACAAACTATGAAAGCAGTCAGGTACCAACAAATCAGGGAGAGACTTTGGAAGAAAATACTAAGCCAAGTAATACCAGTCAGACTGATGAAACACTATGCAAAGAAACTGCTGGGTCAGAGATGGCTTTCAGCCAGTCTTTTAAGATTCATCCCCCATGTTTCATTGCACAAAACATTCAAAAGGATCTGGTAGAGCTTACAACTCTATCTTTTGAATTAAAGCTATATGAGTGTTCACTAATAAATGATGAACAGCCGGAAGCTTCCTGTGCATTGGCTTGTAAGTTCATAAAGGAATATTTTTTTCTTCTGGATTTGGAAAGACTGAAGAACTGTATTTTAACATGTCACAGTGATCATGCCATAATTTGGGAAACATATATGGAAGGACTAAAAGGCAAGTAATTCAGTGTGTATCTTTAAAATTAGTGAAATGTTATGGGTTTTTTGAAATTCATTGAGAATATTAGAAGCTTCTATACATCATCTTGGAATATGGGACATACTTTAAAAAAACAGACAAAACATACAAAGTATATGCTATCCAGTAATGTTCATAGAGAGAAAAATCTCTAGATGTGAATTCATTTTAACAGTCTTTGAAATTGTAGTTACCAGTGGTGGCTTGCAGCTTTTTACATAGAATTCCTATGAAATTTACAGAGAAATTCTAATCTACGAGATTCAGTTCTTTGGGGAAAATTAGGATTTTTCAAGTAGTATAGCATGCTATTCCTATTTGTCTATTCAAGTAGGTAAAGACTGCAGGTTAAAACTGATAAACCAGAAATCTGGTTCCTCTTCCCAGTCATAACGTTTGTGCAGCTAAAACAGTTTATCTCATTCCAGTGCATAAAATAAAAAAATAAAATAAAACATATTAAAAATATTAGTTTGCTGAAACATATTGCTTTTTATTTATTGATTTACGCAATCTGATTCTCAGATTAGTTTCTCAATTTATCTGTTGTAACTTTTAAAAATTGGTGTAACATTTTTCTTGTTGATGTAGCTTTTAAATGTAGTGGTTTATGACATGCACTTTTTGGTTTCAGAACTTACTCTGGCAGGCCCAGTCACTATGTCCCTGGAAAATGGAGATATGTTTAAAACACTGAAATTGTTAGTTGATCTGGGTCCCTGGGATGCTCCTGTGTTGCTGGCACATGCCCAAAGGTGTATATCTATCTTCTGATCTGTCTGAATGCATCATCTTTCTTTTTTTATTCAAATAAATTAGAAAAAACACTGCTATATCACCCCCCCCCCCTTAAACATGCATAACTGTCTATAAGGGGATCTCTTTTTTACCTTTCTATTATTTATTTATTTATTTATTTATTTATTTATTATATACTGCATTTCTATGCCGCCTTCACAGCCTGAAGGCGACTCAAGGCGGCTAGGCACAGAGCTGCCCAGTGTGTTATCCTTGTATGTGGTGCATACATAGGAATGAATGGGTTTTCAGACACATATTATCATTTAGATTCAGAAAAGCCCTGCTGTTGTTCTGATAAACGTTGCTATATTGTGTTGTGATAAATGCTGTTATATTAGTATTAATTTAATTTAAATGTGCAAACTGATGGTCTGTTTGCAAATTGAGTTGGTATGAGAAGAATTGCATTTTAAGTACGTGTTTCCTGTTTTGTCTGTTATTCTATATAGGCTTTATGAAAAATTTGGAGAAACTGCTCTGAGGCCTCTGATCAAGTTCTACCCTTCTATTTTGCCATCAGACATCAAGCAAATTTGTAAAAACAATCCTGAACATTTTCTAGCGTATTTAGATAGTTTAATCAAATCAAAGCCTGAAGACAAACAGTATGTATTTTGCTTTCTTACTTTAGAGCAGGGAGATAAAGAGAGGGTTGCAGGATGTTGATTTATTTGTGGCTTCCCAATTAAATGTTATGTTACATTTTACCATTTGGAGGAAGACACTGAATTCAATAGTAACTATTATCTAAATTCATTAGTAACTATTATCAGGAAAGCTGCCTTCATCAAGCTTGTGGCATAGTTATTTGACACGCATGTAATAAAATATGTATATAGAAAGGCAGCCAACATTTGTTTCCTAATTGTTTTGATTTGAATTATGTTAGATAAAAGGCACCCCTTCTTAGATTATGTTCAGATGTGCTATATTTTAAGATGTGAGCCAAAACTAATCTCAGCTGTATGTTGTATATCTGTTTTTTTCTGTTATACATACATTTCAAATTTGTAACAACAGGACATAATGTCTTTCTAGGTTGTCTTTCCTTAGATCTCTTCTATATCCTGAATCATTGCAATTAGATTGGTTATGTTTGGCGGTTTCTCATGATGCTCCACAGAAAGCAAGTACAATGGATGTCCAAGGAAATCCACGGTAGGAGTTACACTTACCCGGTTTTCTTTCTAATTGTATTCTTATTCCTGAAGGTTTTCCACTAAGGATTTGTTAATTATACAATGGCTGACATTGAATAAGTTAAGATATATGCAAGCTTCTCGGAGCCTCTTTGTTGCTTTTCATTCTTTGAATAAATGGAGAAAAAAAACTCACCAAAAGTCACAGTCACCTATGGCTTCATGTTAAATGCAGATTGAAAGCTAAGCTGCATGGCTTAGGTTGGGAAGCACACTTCAAACATTTCTATTTATTTGAAATATTTCTATTGCATTATTCACTGAAGTTCCATCATGGTGTTCAAAAATGAAAGTAGCAATGCTAATGATAATTGTAATACAGTGGACCAATCAAATAAGAGTGGTCCAGTGGTTAACTTTCAAAGGCCAACTGAATTTTTAACATGTTTGAAGAAGAATACTTTCAAAAAAACTTTTATTACTATTGAAGTTTTTTCTAGAAAGGCAGACTGTTAGTGGCAATCCCAGTGATGGAATCTGATGCAGATCTCATAATCACATCTTAGCTAGTGCCTTCCTATTACGCTAGGAAGTTTGAGAATCGGTGAAAATCCTGCTGCACTATTAGAGTAGAGTAACTCTGCCTACTGGGACTTCACATTAGTGATGATTTGAGACTGCATTTTGGCAGCAAGATATGATGCTACAGTTCGTCTTCTAGAGATAGACTTAAAGAGCTCCAAGACTTTAAGGCCTATTCTCTGCTGTGGTCATCTTTTTATGCTTGCCATTTTTTCTTCTTTTTGTTTGGAGTCCTTTGCTTCAAATATTGACAAAAGCTATTGCAGTGGGCAAGAGAACATGAAATGCAAAGTACAATACACACACTATCCAGTGTTGATGGTAATCGTGACTAAGAATAGACTAAGAATAGACATCAGGCTTTGGCCTTCTACCCTGATTGTTCAGTTTCCTTTAGGAAGACTCGTATACTTTTTTGCTATCCTTCTACCAAGAAAGAACCTCTTGTCTTACTGCAAAAACTGTCTAAATGGGCTGCAGCAACTATTTATTTGCCCTAGGAATGTGCAAGGATACAGTCTCCTGCCCAACTGAGCAGTCACTTGACTAGAAGAAGCTGTATTCGGGAAGCTTTGCTCTTTTCTTCTGCTGCATAACATTCCCTCCTGTGGTTAGTGGCTTGGTAGCCTCCTATTTGCCTGAGTCATAGAAACCATGAAAAAAGGACAGGTTTCTTACCTGTAACTGTATTTCTTTGAGAGATCATTTGTAATCCTCTCCTTGATGTATCCAGCCTCTTCTTCGTTGTTCAGGGAATGGAGGGTTTTATGGGAAATTGCACCAGGGAATGGGCAGTGCTGCTGCCAAAATACTCATGTAATAGCTCTAAAACATTCCAAAAGATGTTTCCGCACAGGCAATTAATTTGTATGAGTTCACATTTCACCACATAAAGACCTATTGTTCTTTGAATGCAATTTTTTTTGACGGGGTTGGACTGGATGGGCCACGAGGTCTCTTCCAACTCTATGATTCTATAACTAACAGTCTACCCTTTGCTTAAAGATGTTATAACATGAAATGTCCTTAATATTTTCAGTGATGTTTTGGATTAGAATTAGAATAGACCGGTAACTGATCAAACTTTCTCAAAGTAAGACTTTCAAAATTAATTTGTCTAACTTTTGACTTTAATTTTTTCAGGCCGCGTTCACATTTATTTACTTGGGGATATAACCAACTGATTTTACTGTTACTTAAGCTCCCGACTGATATTATAACAAAAGAGAAGATGTCTGACATATGCAAATGTTATGGGTAATGAAAAATACTACAAAGTTGTCATTGCAAAGGCACTTGCTTCCTTGTTTGTTTCACTTTGCAGTAGTCTAGTCTGTTCGTACAGTTCTGCTACATAAAATATGCATTATGCATGTGTAGAACTATGTGTCAGTGGATTGTTCAGTGGAGTAGATATATAATATTCTCCAGAGATTTTTTATTTTCTGCAGCAATAATGAATAGTGTTAAACTAATTGGCATTGTTTTTAAACAATATGCCTCCACTTTCTCCACTTCAGTTTTATATCACCACTATAAATTTCTTATCCCCACTATAAATTTCCTTATGTAGTCACTGGGCTTATGTGTTCAGCTATGCTTTCAATTGGGGCCAGAATTCTCTAGATTGCACCTCAGCTTTGTAGATTTATAATGTACATTTAAAAATCAAACTCAGAAATATTTTGAATGCTATAATAGGCAAATATACACATGTCTGAAAATACATAATATACTCAAGCCAACAAATTATGAGGCATGTGGGTGGGCAAAGGTGTGAGAAGGGGCTTCCCTCTGCTGCTGTCAGCCAAGAGAAGCCCCGCAGCTTTCTCCTGCAGGCACGAGGGTGGGTGAGAGCTATGGGTCCTCCCTTGATTGGCAGCATCACAGGGAGGCCTTGTCACTCTTGCTGGAAAGCATGTGGGTGGCCTTGAAGCCCCATAGCTGAAAAAAATTTCACCTTTCCCCTTCCCTCCGCTATTGTGCGAAGAAATACAGTATATGTTAAAGGAAGACGGGGTGTCCTTTCTTAGTTTTCTGTATTTGTCTCTGAAAAATGAGACATTTTGGTGTTTGACAGCATACTTGTTTGAGAACCAGATATTAGTTACATGCCCTCATTTGGTCCTCCTCTGCATTTGGCAGTATATAATATAGCATGTTCCTGTGATCTGATTTCTTAATGTGTGTACAAGAATGGATGAGGAAATGTTTTCATTTCTTATTGAAATTTCTGGTATCCTGAAATGTGAACGAGGCTATAATTACTCAAAATATGTGTGTACACTTTTATTTGTGGAAATCTTTATCTTTATATTTTGTTACAGTTTCTGGTCTGGATATCTCTCTCTCTGTTTGGAACTGAATAGAAGAACTGAAGCACTTGCTAATATTGTTCATTTGGATGATATGAATTTGTTGGATAGAGAAAATGGTTAGTATAACTTGATTTTATTCTTAAATAGATTGCCACATTTTAAAGAAATCTAATGATGTCATCTATTCTTAAAATCTTTAATTACATCAAAACAAAATAGTTCAGCATAAGGAAAACGTTACAGTAATGGTAAACATAATGTAGAGAAATATAATCTAGATATTCATGTGTGATAGAAGTAACCACTCAAGTGATGTTTCTGGTAGTAGATAAATATCACAAAATATACAATTTATACATTCCTGGCAATCATTTTCGATAACAGCACCTTTTATTGCTGTACTCAACTACTACACACAGTCATATGTACTATTTCTGTTAGCATTTGAACATGTTCATTCAGGTATTCCTTTTTATTAAAAAAATTAACGAAACATATAAATGTGGTTACTTGAAATTAATAGCCTAAGACTACTCAATGTATAAGATGTTTTCAAAGTGTAAATAGTTCTTTTTATAATTTTCATCTATATTTAGGGGCAATCCCAGAAACAATGGAAGAATGGAAGTTTCTTCTTTGCCTTATAAAGAGTCACCAGAGTAGTGCTTTTCAGCCTGTTTTACAAAATGGTGGCACTTTTAACCACAGCACTCCAGATTGGTCAAATTCTGTTACTATTGAAAATGTATCTCTCCTGTTGGCCAGAGTAGTTGGCCCAGATTGTGCTTTCCAGCTGTTGCAAGAATGTGGCCTGATGGATAAATTATCCGAAAGATTTGCCAAGGTCTGTGAGATATTAAGAATTGCTGAAAAAAGGCAAAGGTAAGTGTTTTGAGAAGAATCTCCCCTTGGCTGTCGTCAAATGACTTTACAGATGTTGTTAAACTCTAAATACTAGCATAACTAAAGGGAACATATTACCTCTGGAACACTCCAGTATTAAGACAAGATTTAACGTGCACACCAGGTTGTGCCTTCCTCTCTTTGAACTTCTAATTGTAGTTGATGCTAAATCATATATCCCCGTTTCATTTTAATTTGGTAAATGGATTTGCACAAGTCATAGTTCATTGTAATTGGGGTTGGAAATCAGAGTGAAGCAGAGATCCTTGGAGGCAGCAGAGGGAGACAATTACTTCACCTCAGTGGGATGGAATAACTCTTACTGTTTGGTGCAGGTGTTCCTCACTCACTGCATTAATTGAGCAGACAGGTACATATTGAATGAATCAATAAAATGTTCATACTGTGATAATCTGCACGGTAGACAAAGTTGTCATGAGTACAAGTAAATCAGCTTGATGAAATGATGTGCTATTTAAGTTTAAACTCTTATGTTTACAATATTGTATTTATCCCTCTTTCCTTCACTTCTGTTGCAGAGTCCTAATTCAGTCCATGCTGGAAAGATGTGACCGATTCTTATGGTCTCAACAAGCATAGTAAATGGTTCTAGAATACTTTGGCAATAAGAAAAAAAATGGTTCTTCCTGTATGGTACAATTCCCAAGAAAGGTCCTTTCTCTATGAAAATATGAATTATGTCAGACTTGGAAAGAGTGAAGGCAACAAATCTCCTTTTTTTCTACTGGATATCTGTTCTTAGGATATATATTAGGAAACCATTGGTGTGCAGTGCTGCTGTCCCATGGATCAAAGCAGTTGTGCCAAGGAAACCTGAAGGGGAAAACTCTGCCCTCCCCTCTTCTACCCTTCAAATAAGCTGTGTAGAGCTGGGAAACTCAGAAGTAGATTTTGGGACAGTGCAGAAGTATGGACACCATTAAATTTTTACATATATTATTAGATGATATTGCAGTAAGGATACTGATATATGGTAAGCAGTTTGGGCTATCATTGTTTGAATTGTTCACTGGGATGTTTTAGCTTGGAAAAGAGGTTGCTCATTTTCAAAATGTACGTTTAAAATTATGATGCTAATCAAAAAGCTGAAAACTTTTGTCATGTTCCTAGCAAATTACCTTTTATTGTATGCAAAACTGAATGTATGTGGCAGCATAAGCCTTTACATTTACTTTTACATAGAGTGAAAAGGGCTGTGTATTTTTTAATTAAATTGAATAATTGTCAATAATAGCTGTTGATCTGATACACAGTTAAAAATGAAAGGATGTTAAATATCTATTTTTTTTTTCATCCAGTTACACCCACAGATGGGCAGATGTACACACAGTACTTCAAATACTCACAGCACTTTAGACTTTGAAGTGCTTATCAAGAGATGTCAGTAGTTAAATATAGAAGCCGCACGTGCATATATTAGAAATGAATCTCTTAGCATTTTATAGGGCTGACACAGTTATTGTATGTTATGGCAGGCTACTTCCTTGCCCCATTACATAAACTATCTACTAGAGAACATTCTAAGCATTTGGTGTGGTTGGGAATGTGGGATCTTTTGCACTATGTTGTCTTTGTCCTGCTGAAATGACAATTTTATTCTATGCATGCTTACTCAAGAGTGAGCTCCACCGTTCATTGGCTCTGATGCCCAGTCTATGTATGCAAAGGATTGCACTCTCAAATGGCATAGGATTGTTTGCAGCTATAGAACTGGAAATAATGAAATATTTTTGGCCCACTCCTATGTTGCTTAAGGCTGATGCTAAGTAATGAAAATGTATTTCTAGCTCCACTAAAGTTATATTTGTTGGAGATTTGAGATAATGCATTTTCCATGAATCAATGATTGCTAAAGCCTAATAATAATGAATGGGAACAAGGTTCCTGTTGCTATTGGTGTACTGTTCCTTCTTTTTTCTTATTATCTGGAATAGCACAATTTCATATTCTTGTATCTTCAGGTCTACTGCTTTATTATAAAAGATACTCGAGATTTCTAATTGTTCATGATTTGCAAAGCATTGAAATAATTGCCTTCTTTTTGCAGTCTTGCTTTTAGAAGCAATAACCCCCCCCCCCCAAATCCCTATTTGTTATACAGTTTTTTTCCACAACACCTTTCTATATTTTTGTTAATCCCATGTTTGATGTTGGCTTCATTGGCATTCTGGAGGCAATTTCCAGAAATCCCGCTGTTTGTAAAACTCACTTACATGGTTCCTTGAATTTGAGCTCTATTGTGTAAATGATTATTTACTACCTCACATACATTTTGAGAGAAGGTCTTACAGTTTTAAGGCTGCTACAGATGCACAAAGTGAGCTCATGAAATAGTACTTTTCAAACAGAATATGGTGTAAAATGTTGTCAACATGATGTGGAACAACTAAAAGTTTTCTTTTGTATTTTGCTACATCTCATTTTAATTGATTTCTGCACAAATACTATTATTTTTAAACACTGTTCATATTAACAGCAGCTTTAAAAGATTGCTTGTAACTAAACAGCTTTGGTTATGGTTTTCACTAACCTGAAATTAAATAAAGTTAATATATATAATACTATAACACTTGTTTGGTCTTTAAAATAATATGGTGTGATAGAGAAACATGTTGGCCATCAGAAAGTATATTTGCATGATGAAGATAATTTTTTTTTGTCGTGTCAGGAGCGACTTGAGAAACTGCAAGTTGCTTCTGGTGTGAGAGAATTGGCCGTCTGCAAGGACGTTGCCCAGGGGATGCCCGGATGATTTGATGTTTTTATCGTCCTTGTGGGAGGCTTCTCTCATGTCCCCACATGTGGAGCTGGAGTTGATAGAGGGCGCTCATCCGCCTCTCCCCGGATTCGAACCTGCGACATGTCAGTCTTCAGTCCTGCCAGCACAGGGGTTTAACCCACTGCGCCACTGGGGGCTCCACATGCAGATAAATGTGTGTGTGTGTGTTTTTTTTAATTAACCAATATCTTTCAAGGTTTTAGATTGTCTATAATTTCCTCAATCTCTGGATGGGTTGGGACCAGAATATTACAAAAAATATAAAACATTATTGATACGTAAATTAAAAGATCTATATAATAAAATAATAAAAAGAGAAAAAAATTCCACCATTATCGGAGCAATCATTGGTCACTTTGATATTAAAACCCAATAAAGACCCTACAGACCCAGGATCGTACAGACCTATCTCATTAATAAACCAAGATGCAAAAATATTAACTGCCATACTGGCTAAAAGGATGAATAGATTTATATATAAATATATAAAGAGGATCAGTATCGATTTGTAGGAGGAAGGCAAATGTCAAATTTAATGGGTAGGGTATTAAACGTAATTCATAGTATTAAAAAAAGAAATTTAGTGACAGGAGTATTCGCTCTGGATATTTATAAGGCATTTGATAGTGTATCCTGGCAGAGAATGAAATTAATATTAGATAAAACAATATCTTTCGTGAGTAATGTGGATGGTTATAGTCGCATCTAGAATAATAATAATAATAATAATAATAATAATAATAATAATATAAAAATAATGAAATAATAATAATAATGCTTTATTTGTATTCCGCCCCCTCTCCCAAAGAGGACTCGGGGCGACTTATAACAAGGATGAAACATATAGATAATAAAAATCACACAGCAATCCTGGGTCAAATCTAAACAGAAAATCAGAAAAAAAAATCATAATATGTAAAAAATCAATCACAACAAAAACCTCTTGTTGGTAAAAATAATAAGGTTCAGTTTAAATTAATCACATTTAAAATGTCCAACACTTAGATGACAGTTATTTTCAAAAGCTTTCTTCCAAAGCCATGTTTTCAGTTTCTTCCTAAAAGCCACTGTAATCTTATGGAGGATGTTCCAGAGCTGGGGACACACCACAGGGAAGGCCCCTTTCCTGTCCCCACCAGTCGCAGTGTGATGGAGGTGGAACCGTGACAAGGGCCTTCCTTGCGGATCTCAGAGTCCAGGCAGGTTCATAGGGGGAGACGCGGTCACGCAAATAGGTTGGACCTGAACCGTGTGGGGTAGTGGTTCTCAGCCTGTGGGTCCCCTGGTGTTTTAGCCTACATCTCCCAGAAATCCCAGGCAGTTTATCAGCTATTATGATTTCTTGGAATTGAAGACCAAAACATCTAAGGACCCACAGGCTGATAACCACTGGTTTCCTTCACTTAGGTGATTCCTCATAGCTCGAGGATGATGGTCCTCCAGATGTGGTATCTTGGTGGTGGATCTGTAGGTGGCTGTAGAGGCCTATTCTTGATCCACATGTTCTCCCGCAGTAAGGACATTGGTTTCCATGTGGAAGGTGGTCCCAGTCAGGGTTGGCTTGGCGTTCCTTTATTTTGTCATGTTTCTCCCTTTTGCCCTCCATTCATGCCTCTTCAAATTCTGCAGCACTGCTGGTCACAGCTGATCTTTAGTTAGAGCACTCAAGGACCAGGGCTTCCCAGTTCTCAGGGTCTATGCCACAGTTTTTAAGGTTGGCTTTAAGCCCATCATTAAATCTCTTTTCCTGTCCACCAACATTACGTTTCCTGTTATTGAGTTAGGAGTATAGTAACTGCTTTGGGGGATGGTGATCAGGCATTTGGACAATGTGGCCAGTCCAGCGGAGTTGATGGCGGAGGAGGATTGCTTCAATGCTGGTGGTCTTTGCTTCTTCCAGCACATTGACATTTGTCCGCCTGTTTTCCCAAGAGGTTTGCAGGATTTTTCAGAGGCAACGCTGATGGAATCATTCCAGGAATTGAGTGTGACATCTGTAGACAGACCATGTTTCGCAGATATAAAGCAGGGTTGGGTTTATAAACAAGCACCTTGGTCTCCCTATGGATGTCCCGGTCCTCAAACACTCTCTGTTTGATTCGGAAAAATGCTGCACTCTCAGAGCTCAGGTGCTGTTGACTTTTGTGGAGAGGTGGCTGCCAAGGTAGCGGAAATAGTCAACATTTTCGAATGTTACACCATTAAGCTGTGTCTCTGACATTGCAGATGGATTGGTTAGTGCCTGCTGGAAGAGCACTTTGGTTTTCTCCATATTCAATGAGAGGCTGGTGGGGGGGATTTATTGGTGATAACCTGCACCTTTAATTGGGCCTGGAAACACATATGCAGCCATTGGAGCTGTTTTAATAGGGGGTTGGTATGCTCCTGGAATTAGCTCCTGTTGATAACCTGGCCGCTTCTCTTTGCACCAATTGTAATTTCTGAGCTGTCTTCAGAGGCAGCCCCGCGTAAAGTGCATTGCAGTCATCCATCCGAGATGTAACCAAGGCGTGGACCACCGTCACCAGATCTGGCTTTTCGAGGTATGGTCGCAGCTCATGCACAACCTTTAAAGCCCTCCTGGCCACTGCTGACACCTGAGGTTCAAGGGTCAGCACTGAGTCCAGGAGGACCCCCAAGCTGCAGAATCTATACTATAGAGTCAATGTAGTTTGACACCACTTTAACTGCCTTGGCTCAATGCTATGAAACCATGCAAGTTTTACAAACTCTTTAACCTTTGCCTGAGTGCTAATGCCTTACCAAACTACAACCATGATCCCATAGCATTGAGCCAATGCTATGGAATTATGGGAGACAGGCCCGTAGCTAGGATTTTGATTCCATGCATATGGAATGTATTGAGCATGGTGATCAGATCATGATATGAATAAACATAACAGTTTAAATAATGTACCAGTAAGGCCTTCTCGTGGACCACCATCAGAATTTCGGGGGGGGGGGGGGGGGGGGGCTGAAGCCCCTCAAGCCCCCCCCCCCCGGCTACATGCCTGATGGGAGTTGTAATTTTACAAGGTCTTTAGCCTTCTCTACCAGAGAGAAGGTGTCTCACCAAACTACAACTCCCAGGGTTATATTGCACTGAGCCAGGGCAGTTAAAATGGTGCCAAACTGCATCAATCTTAGATGCAGGAAAACCTAAACATGGGAAGGTGTGTTGCTTGAGTTTTCCGGGCTATATGGCCATGTTCCAGAAGCATTCCCTCCTGACGTTTCTCCCACATCTATGGAAGGCATCCTCAGAGGTTGTGAGGTCAGTTAGAAACTAGGCAAGTGAAGTTTATATATCCGTGGAATGTCCAGGGTGGGAAAAAGAACTCTTGTCTGTTTGAGGCAGGTGTTGCAATGTTGCAATTGGCCGCCTTGATTAGCATTTGATGGCCTTGCAACTTCAAAGCCTGGCTGCTTCCTGCCTGGGGGAATCATTTGTAGGGAGGTGTTGCCTGGTCCTGATTGTTTCATGTTTCAGGCCAGGCTTTGAAATTACAAGGCCATTCAATGCTAATCAAGGTGGCTAATTTCACCTGCCTCGAACAGACAAGCGTTCTTTCTCCCACAGCAAACCACTGATTCCGGCCATGTAAACCTTCGACAACATGGGAAGGTGTGTGCGTTTTTAAGAGAGGCGTTTATACATCGGGCCGCCGCTGGGGGCGCTGTGCTGCCTTGCTTCCCCTGCGACGGGCAGAATTGGGCTTCTTCCTCCGCCTCCTTCCTGGGCGGAGAGGAAGCTTGGAGGAGGGAAGGCCAGGCAAGGCGTCTCTTCGGCTTCTGCGAGGCTGGGAAGGTTTGTGCACCGCAGGGGGAAAAAACCCTCCCTCCCCGCCAGGACCTCCTCGGGTCCTTCTCGGCCCCTCCATTTGATAAGCCGAAGGGCCCCAAGTGCTGTAATAGTTCCTCGCAGGGCCTCCTTGGCCGACTCTCCTCATTCCCAGGAAAGGAAAGGACAAAAGGGGGGGGGGGGACTTATTGGGGTTCACTTCCATGCAGAGCTAAAAACCCCACACCCTTCCTTTCAGCAACTACTTTTCATTACCCTCCTGCCACTCAAAAATGGGATGTCACATTATGCAAAGGGATCCTGGAGCATCTTAGAGACTAAGGCTGCATCTGCATTGCATTTTGACTTATATGGCCCAGTGCTGTGGAATCATGGGATTTGTAGTTTGCTGGTCTGTGGCAGAGAAGGCTAAACACCTCCTAACACTACAACTTCCATCATTCCATTGCATTTAGACATGTTATTTGAAGTGATGTCAAAAAAGCACAACTTCCTCAGTGTAGGTCAGGCCTGGGCCAACTTGGGCCCTCTCTCCAGTGTTTTGGACTTCAACTCCCACCATTCTGAACAGCCTCAGGCACTTTCCTTTCCCCCCTCAGCTGCTTCAGGCTAAGGGGTTTGAGGCTGTGAAGAATGGTGGGAGTTGAAGTCCAAAACACCTGGAGGAAGGGCCCAAGTTTGCCCAGGTCTGGTGTAGATGCACCTTTAGAGAAAGGTGTTCGTAGCATAAGCTTGAAAGATTATGCTACCCCAAAGGCATTGCAAGATTCTCCTGTATCCCCATCTTATGCATCTCCTTTCTATCTAGAACTAGCCCTCCCCTGCCACGCATTGCTGTGGCCCAGTCTGTGTATGTGTGTTTTGGGTGTGTATATGTGTGTATATATATTTGTGTATATGTGTATTTATGTGGTTATGCCAAAGGCCTCAGTGGCGCAGTGGGTTAAACGGTTGAGCTGTTAAACTTGCTAATCAAAAGGTCGCAGATTTGAATCCGGGGAACGGTACAAGCTTCCACTGTTAGCCCCAGCTTGTGCCAACCTAGCAATTCGAAAACATGCAAATGTGAGTAGATCAATAGGTACCTCTCTGGCAGGAATGTAACATTGCTCCATGCAGTCGTGCTGGCCACATGACTTTGAAGGTGTCTATAGACAACACCAGCTCTTGGGCTTAAAAATGGAGATGAGCACCAACCCTCCCCCAACCCCCGAGTCGGACATAACTGGACTTAATGTCAGGGGAACAATGTGGTTATGTGCATGCGTTGTAGCATATATATAGGCTTTTTAAGTCTCTTCTGCTGTGTTTTTCAGTGTTTTTATGAGTGACAGTTACTCGTTGGCCTGATAGGTGTATTGTGTCCAAATTTGGTGTCAGTTCGCCCAGTGATTTTTGAATTATGTTTGTCCCACAAACGAACATTACATTTTTATTTATATAGGAACCCAGAGGTCTGACATTTGGGTAACTCAGCCATGGACAGGAATCCATCCCCGCCGTCTAGTGATTCAGAAGAGGAGGCCGTCATTGCTGGAGATTCCATTGGAAGTACAGTCTATAGCAAGCACTGGCTATTCAGTGTCCTTACCAAATTAATTGAAGTATGTTAAATGCATTGTCTGTCAGTTTGTGTTGGAGCTGCTGAGAATTTGTGACATGAAACTCTGCAATGCCAAAGCAGACCTGGAGGTGGCTAACGATGTGTTGCCAAATAATTTTGATATTTTGCCACTTTTAGGTGCTGTTTAAGTAATGTGTGCGTACAGGCAGCCCACATGTTGCAAACAAGATAGGGTCTGTAGGTTTGTTCTTAAGTTGAATTTGTTTGTAAGTCAGAACAGGTACATTCTCAAAGTGTAACTCCAGCAAAAAATACATATATTTTATAGCACAGGGAAGGATTAACACCATTGTCATTTTTGTTTTGCTGTCTGTGCCCCGTTCAGAAGATTTCACCTCATTTTCTGTCCCTGTGATCATTGGATTTTGAAGAATGTGGCTTGTTGTGGAAACAAGGATTGGTGATAAAGCTTCAGTTGATACATCTTTTCCCCATGATAAGTGAATTTCCCCTCTGAGGAGTAGATTTCTCTCACCCCTTTTATCTCATCCCTGTTCTTAACTAGGAGTCACTTGTAAGTTGCATGTTTGTAATTCAGGGACAGCCTGTATGTGTAAAAAAATATGAAATGTAAATAAATGACAAAAGAACCATGGTGGTTTTTTTTGGTGGAAGATGGTTTTTTCCCCTTACATGTCTTTTAGATAATTGTATTATTATAGTTATGAAATGTTGCAGTCCATATTAATTTGGGCATAAACATGAAAGTGAGATTATCAAGTATACAGCCAGTTTCTTAGTTTTGCTATGCTGGTGTAAATGTAGAGGAAAATATATAGATGTCTTGTATTCAATAATGTCTTATGGATACTGTGTTGAAGGGCCCCTTGGTGGTGCAGCGGGTTAAACCGCTGAGCTGTTGAACTTGTGGATCGAAAGGTTGGCAGTTCAAATCCATGGAGTGGGGTGAGCTCCCACTGTTAGGCCCAACTTCTGCCAACTTACCAGTTTGAAAACATGCAAATCTGAGTAGATTAATAGGTACCGCTTCTGCGGGAAGGTAACCGTGCTCCATTCAGGTCATGTTGGCCACATGACTTTGGAGATATCTACAGCTGACCACACCCCAGAGTTGGACACTTAATGCCAGGGGAAACCTTTGCCTTTACCTATACTGTGCTGAATAGGCTTCTGCTACCAGAACAAGTTTTTACCCCATGATTTAAATGGTGGGTTTCAGATATGCATTTCATTTGATTTGGAAATGCTACAATATTATTCCACATTCTTCCTCTACCTAAAGTCAACTGATTTTGTTGATTGTGTTAGTGAGGAGAAAATCTTCATATCTTAGGAGATGATTATTTACCTCAATAAAAAAAGTTGACTGAATCTTTGGAAGTCTTTTCAGGGGCTGCAAGGTATGAGTTAAAATAGAGTTTGGAGTTGTGCGAGACCTAGAGAATATTCCCTGCTATAAAGTGTGGTTGGCTTAATTGTTTAAGTCCAGCAGTTACCCGATTGCTACTTTCATTCCTATATCAATTTGTAGTTTTCATTCTCTTTGTAAGATTATTACTCCCAAGAAAGATGAGGATTCCGAGGTAAACAATGAAGAAGAAGAAGAAGAGATGGAGTTAGATGACGATATGGAGAACGACATTTGTAAAGTGTGGGATATGTCCATGGATAAGGTATTCACATTCTGCTATTTGGGAAATGGTTGAAATTGTCTAGGACAGGGGTCCTCAAACTTTATAAACCGAGGGCCAGGTCACAGTCCCTCAAACTATTGGAGGGCTGGATTATAATGTGAAAAAAACATGAATGAATTGCTATGCAAACTGCACATATCTTATTTGTAGTGCAAAAAATACTTAAAAACAATACAATAATTAAAATGAAGAACAATTTTAAACTTATTATAAATATAAACTTATTAGTATTCCAATGGGAAGTGTGGGCCTGCTTTTGGCTGATGAGATAGGATTGTTGTTGTTGTGTGCTTTCAAGTCATTTCAGACTTAGGTAGACCCTGAGCGAGGGCCGGGTAAATGACCTTGGAGGGCTGTATCCGGTCCCTGGGCCTTAGTTTGAGGACCCCTGGTCTAGGAGTAGGCTTGAAAAGAGAAGAACTGTGAAGTTATATAGTAGCTATGCAAAGAGTTCTGTTGCTAACATGTATCACCTTTGCCCTTCTGCTCTTGCTGGTGTTTTCTTGTTAGTAAATTGACATAAATTGAAATTGCCAAAGTGTAAGCCGCTCTCAGTCCTTTTTGGGGTAAGAAAAAAGATTCAGTTTTTTACAGTATAAAAGAGTTAAAAAATTGAAACAGATAGGGAAAGGGTCTTGTGGCCTAACTACGTCAACTTGCCTCACTACAAACCAGCTATACAAAAAAGCTGTTTTATTTCCAAATGAGTGTTGGGATAATAGTTGGATTAATTTATCCATATTCATAATGTCCATTATTTTTGATGTCCATTGTGCTGTGATTGGTGTTTCTTTTGTTCTCCACTTTTGAGTGTATATTAGTCTTGCTGCGGTCACTAAATAGTTAAATAGTCTGTCTTTATTTTTCTCTAATTAGAAATCTATAATTCCTAATAAAAAGTATTCTGGATTCAGTTGCATTTTTATGTCTAATATTTTCTGAATTTTCACTTTAATTTTTCATAGGGTTTCTTAGGCAAGGAATATTCAGAGGTGGTTTTGCAAATCCCTTCCTCTGAAATATTGCATATAGCACCAGGTATTTTTGTGTGGTTTCCCATGCAAGTACTAACCAGAGCTGAATCCCTGTAGCTTCAAAGACAACAACAACAATTTTATTTTTGTACCCTGCCTCCATCTCCCTGAAGGGACTTGGGGCAGCTTACATATGGCACAATGTGCCTAAAACATCGCATAAAATAATTACACAATACAATACACAATAAAAGATCACACAGGATCTGGTGCCCTTAGGGTATTTAGACTCTTACACCTTCATAATTTACAATTTACATGAAAACTCAATCAAATGTTTTAGTATCATGGAGAAATCTCCTCAGTGGTCACCAATAATACCCTCGAGAAATAAAGTTGTAACAAAAATGCAGGCAAACAAACTATGGAATGACAATTAGGTAAATAAGAATAGAGAAAATATGTACTTATACTAAAATGCAAAAAAAAAAAACCCACTTGAATTTGAATGAAGGAGTTATTAACATAACACTTTATTTATAATCCGCCCTTCTCACCCCGAAGGGGACTCAGGACGGATCACAGTACACATACACGGCAAACATTCAATGCCGTTTTACTATAGACAGTACAGAGACAGGACAGAAGGAGGTGTGTTATTGTTTTTAAACTTTCTCCTTTCCTTTGTAATGATAATTAACAAATTAAACTGTCTTGTTTTCAGGATGTGGCTTTATTTCTACAAGAGTTTAATGCCCCTGATATATTTATGGGTGTATTTGCAAGGTCTAGGTGTCCTCGACTTACTGTAAGTACTGTTATGAATCTCTGCCTTATTTATTAATAATGCTTTGTGCTTTGACCTCTCAGGTACAGGTCAGAAATATAAAGATTTGACCATTAAGGTGCTGAGGTTTTGCTATGTAATAAATGACATGTAATAAATGATCGTCAAGATGTAATATTTTCTGAAGTTCTAATAACTCCTGTTGGCCCTAGTCCACCTGTACAGGGATGAGGCGTTATAGGGCATTGACAGTGATTGCTGACTGCCTTCTTCAGCACTGTGGATTTCAGATATTCTCCACTCCAGAAACATTCAAGAACATTTTGGAATCTAAGAGATTTCATATATCACTACGGGTGATATTTTATTCTACACAAAAAATACGCCATTCTTTCCCATCATAAACAGTTTTATGCTGAATTCAAACTGGTTTGTTATGTGTTTAATAACCACGCTATGTTGGGCATTTCAGGAAATCTGTGTGGGAATATTGGGTAACATGGCCTGTTGCCAAGAAGTATGCATAGCTATTAGTAATCATAAGAACCTTGGGTAAGTGACATATGTTGTACTTTGTTTTGTATTGGTTATAAAATAATGAAATATGCAATAATAAAACTTGGAGTAAACATAACTGTTCCAAACTCCAGCTTCAATTCTTTTCCGCTAAAGTGCTACTGATGCATATAGGCCAGGCCTGGGCAAACTTGGGCCATCCAGGTGTTTTAGACTTCATCTCCCACCATTCCTAACATCCTCAGGCTTAAGTGGCTGAGGGAGAAAAGGAAAGGGCCTGAGTCTGTTAGGAATGGTGAGAGTTGAAGTCCGAAACACCTGGAGGGCCCAAGTTTGCCCAGGCCTGATTTGTCCCAGTGTTAGGATAAAAGGAAAACAGATTCTTTGTGTTAACAGCTACAAAAAAGAGGCAAGAGGAGATATGGCAACAAGGGGAATATTACTGGTAGTTAATAAGATGAAGATAATAATTCAGGTTGAAAAGAAGTGGGAGAAAATATGGTAAAATGGAGGAAGTGGGGAAGAACTGGGAACAAATCTTCAGGTAGCTTATATAAACTTAATATTTGAAGAGATGATCAAGAAGGCAAAAAAAGTATGACCACGGTATCCATAAAGACTTCAGTACATTAAAAAATGGCACACTCATGTTAGGTGCAAGATTAAAGTGGATATTTTTAGCTTAGAGTTAAGATGGATAGGGTAATAAAATGCTTATTCTCTCTTGTATGTTTTAATGTAATTGTATTAAGATAGGACCACAGAGTTGGAAGGGATCATAACAGCTATGTTGTCCATCCATGTTCTTAAAGTTGTGCCAGATCTCTACAGTGTACTGTTGCTTTTCCAGGGAGATGGTGCTGCTGCGCTTGTGTGATTCTGATTCCCCAACCCTCCTTGAAACAAGCCGGTAAGATTGTTTTTTGTCAATGTCAGATAATGTTCTGTGTGGTGTACTAATGCATAAGAAGAGAAGAAGTGTAATTACATAACTATATATTCAAAATAAAATGTGATTGAACTCAGTATATTGTAGTTCTGAAAGTTCCTTAGTCTTATCTTCCTTTACCTTGACTTCATATTTTAATTACTCTGACTTATTATATTCCAGATTTTTATTAATTGTGCTTGAAATATACTTTGTTCTCTCTAACACTTGTGTAGGGAACCCCTGGTGGCACAATGGGTTAAACCCTTGTGCCAGCAGGACTGTTGACCTAAAGGTCAGCAGTTTAAATCTGGGGAGTGGGATGAGCTTCCATCTGTCAGCTCCAGCTTCCCATTCGGGGACGAGAGAAGCCTCCCATAGGATGGTTAAACATCCGGGCATCCTTTGGACAAAGTCCTTGCAGACAACCAATTCTCTCACACTAGAAGAGACTTGCAATTTCTCAAGTCGCCCCTGACATGAAAAAAAACCTTGTGTACAAAAATAATAATAGTGCAGTCTTGTACCATGTCTACCCAGATATAAATTCTGTTTCGTTCCATAGTCTTTCTTCCTAATTGTATAGAATTGGCAGTCTAATTAGCTATTATGTTTAATTCTGTGTTAACTTGCATTTTCCCTTTAGGTTACTACTGACTTGCCTCTCTCAATCTGAAGTGGCTGATATTTGGGTGGAAAGAATCCGAGAAAGTCCATCTGTATATGATTGTATCTGCTTTATTATGTCTAGTTCTACAAATGGTAGGCTATCATTTACTCTATTTATACCCCGCCTTTCTCTGCCCTGAATGAGACTCAGTGTGGCTTACATAGAGGCAATTATTAAATGCCTTAAAACACATACAATTCCAAAAAAAAAAATTAGATTAAAATTAAAACAGATTAAACATTTAAAAACATTCAATTTCATATTAAAATCATGCCATCCATAGTCGTGGTCCAAGTCATTCCATAGTCATTCCATATGTTCTAAATCTATTAATTGCACTGCACTGTTCTCTGAAGGCCTGCTCCCACAGCCAGGTTTTTACCTTTATTTTGAAGGCTAGGAGGGAGTGGGGTGATCTAATGTCACTGGGGAGGGAGTTCCATAGCTGAGAGGCCACAACTGAGAAGGCCCTGTCTTGTTCTTACCAGTCGTGCCTGCGAAGGAGGCGGGACCGAGAGCAGGGCCTCCCCGGATTATCTTAATCTTCGAGATTAATTGTACATGAATATAAAACAATATCACATAAAAATTATAAACAACCACTGTCAACACATAAAATAAAATACACCATTTAGAAACACTTACTTCAAAAACATTCCCAGTCTTTTTGAAGCACCAGAGGAATTTTGAGAATATTATTTAATAAAATTTTGTATCAAGCATTTTTATAAGGAATATATAAATGTTTCCCTTAGTAAAACTTCTTCAGAATGCATTGGAATCATCTCAACAAGTCCATCTTATGGCTACTGTTGATCCTCTTTTTCTGTGTACAATACTATCTTTTCCCACACAGGCATAAAACCTATTTATGGAGAGATGTCAGTAAAGCTCAGCCAAGTTCTCATGCTTTTCTCATACTGCTTGGCACCTGTATTTAGGTACTAAAGGTTTGAGAGATGTAAGACAGGCTACTGTTAAACCTATTGTAGACTGTTTTTGATGTATGATTTTTTTTATAATGTTAGAAATTGTGGGAGTTGAAGTCCAAAACATCTGAAGGGCTGAAGTTTGCCTATGCTTCATCTAGTATCTTTCTCTCTCTTCCCTCTTCCTGTTTGTTCTAAAGAGTCCATGGAGTATGCAAACTCACTTCAAACTTATTTTCTGATAGGATATAAACATCTGCATATTAACATCACCAGAGCTGTATTGTGCTTAATTTGATCTAGCTCATCCTCTTGCAGTGGTTCCCAAACATGAGCCCCCAAGTGTTGAGACTGCAACTCCCAGCATTTCACAGTAACTAGGAACCAAGTGTTGGGAATTGCTACCATATTCCATTAGAGGTATAATGCTAAGGTATTCAGGAGCATAAAACACAGTGCATTTGTTGCTGAATAACTGGTTTGGTTTGTATAATTTGTAAGAAGTTAAAAGGAATGAGTGTTCTGAGTGTTCTATAAATTCATAAATGTTTAAATTAAGGTTACTCTTTGTTGCAGTGGAGTTGCTGGTGAAAGTAGGTGAGGTAGTTGATAAGCTGTTTGACTTGGATGAAGATCTGATGTTAGACTGGATTAAAAAAGGTTCTCAATGGTCAGTGACACAGCCAGTGGATGATTCACCCAAAGAGTGTCCAACTCTTAAGATTGTACCTTGTCTGCTTGAAGCAACAAAACAAATCTGGTACGTATATTTCTACATATTCTGTGTACAACAATATTGTGTTTTGGCTCCTACTTTTTCTATCATAGCTCCTAATCTTAATTTATTTGAATAAAATCAAATAGAACATGGGTAAAGGTAAAGGTTTCCCCTGACATTAAGTCTAGTCGTGTCTGACTTTGGGAGGTGGTGCACATCTCTTTTTCTAAGCTGAAGAGCTGGCGTTGTCCATAGAGGCCTCCAAGGTTATGTGGTCAGCATGACTGCATGGAGTGTCATTACTTTCTAGCACAAGCGATACTTATGGATCTACTCACGTTTGCATGTTTTTGAATTGCTAGGTTGACAGAAGCCGGGGCCAACAGCGGGAGCTCATCCCACTTCCCGGTTTTGAACCACCAACTTTTTGGTCAGCAAGTTCAGCACCTCAGTGGTTTAACCCGCTGTGCCACCAGGGGCTCCTGTCAGAACATGGGTACAACAGTATTAATTCACATCCCTTGTGGTGTTTTTTAATACTTTATTCTATCTTTCTCCCAAGAATCTCAGTGCTGTGAATATGACTTCCCATTTTATTCTGGCAACCCTCTGAAGTAAGGTAGCTTGGCTGATTTGGGATCAACCAATAAGTGTCATAGCTTATTGGGGATTTGAATCTGTGTCGCCCTAAATATAGTTTCTGATTAAAGGACATTATACTGTTTTTCTCCTTTTGGAAAGATGGTTGTGAGAAACTGATCTTTGAAGTTACCATCATACCAGTTCCTAGGAAGGGGGGCGGGGCGGGGAATGCATCTCCATTAAACATAGTAGGGACATTTTATTAGTGGAATTTTTGGTTCTACTTCTGTTCTTAGATACCCACAGGTTTTTTTTTTTTGAGGAAGTGTCATAGGTGAGGCCGTCTTTGGAAACAGCTGTGTCACAAAGCTTTTTGCAGAAACAAGTCCAACATGTGACTTCCGTTCCATTACCAGCTGCTCCTTTCAGTTTTGGGAACCTTGAGCAGCTTATCCAAGTTGGGTCCCAATGTGTATTGAACTTTCTGCTTGAAGACGAATGAAACTTCTTGCTTGCTTTGCTTTTTCTGTTCCCCTCAAGGACACTATAAAGTATCAAACAGTGAGGAGAAAACAATAATTTTAAACCTACAATGTTCAATTCCCTGTTAAATTTCAGGGAAATATTTCAACTATCATTTGGGGTATAGCACAATATGGGCTTGATCAGTATTTCATAAACTATTTGGTGGGGTTTCCCCTTAGTGTGCCACGGGCCACTCCCATATTGATGCCCATTGGCCAAAACACGTTCTTTCCTGGAAGCTCATGGCAAACCAGCAGTCAATATCTTTGGCATTGGTCCACAGACCACCACTAGTCTAGATGTAAATGTGTCATAAGTTCATAGTCTTCCTCCTTTCTCAGAAATAGGAACACTACAAACTCTGGATAGTTGTGTTCATATCATTAATATGCTTGTGCTTAATGTTGCAGGTGAGATTTGTTCAGATAAGGGTAAAGTAAATGACCTCTAATAATGCTATCTTCTTTAAATTAAATATTACTGGAAGTGGAAGTTTTAAGAACAATCTTGGGAATCTTTGTGTGGTAGGTTAGGAATACTTACTTTTTCAGATTTCTTAATATTTCTAAATGGAACATATAATTCTGTATTGCAGCTCAGAGAAAAATTCTGAAGGACTTGATGTTTACATGCATATCCTACAGCTCCTCACAACTGTGGATGAAGGAATTCAAACAATTGGTAAGAGTTTGGAAATACAGTTTATTGTGATAATATTGGCAGCATCCAGTGGTGAACCTTCCCTGGTGGAACAGAAAAGTCTAGCATCCAGGGAAATCATTCTACCCCTCCATTCTACCTTGGTTAGATCACACCTGGAATCACACTGTGTCTAATTCTGGACACTGCAATTTAAGGGGGATGTTGACAAGCTGGAAGGTGTCCAAAAGAGGGTGATTAAAATGTAGAACAAACCCTATGAGGAGTGGCTTAAAGAGCTGGGCATGCTTAGCTTGCAGAAGGGAAGGCTGAGGGAAGACATGATGGCCATGGATAAATATGTGAGGGGAAGTCATAGGGAAGAGGGAGCAGACTCGTTTTCTGCCGCTCTGGAGACTAGGATGCGGAACAATCGCTTTGAAATACAGGAAAGGAGATTCCACTTGAACATGAGGAAGAACTTCCTAACTGTGAGAGCTGTTCAGCAGTGGAACTCTCTGCCCCGGAGTGTGGTGGAGGCGCCTTCCTTGGAGGCTTTTCAACAGAGGCTGGATAGCCATCTGTCGGGGGTGGTTTGAATGCGATTTTCCTTTTTCTTGGCAGGGGGTTGAACTGGATGACCTATGACGCTTCTTCCAACTCTATGATTCTATGAGGTCCTTGATGTGCTAGAACACTTTCTTCAAGGCAGGATGCTACAGTTGTTAGACTAGAACTCTGAGAGACTATATTTAATTCAACACTTGCAGACTTTCAGCGAGTCTCAAACTCTCAGCTTCAGATGAAGGCAATGGCAAGCATCCCTGAACCAGTGAGAACCAGTGATAAGTGTACATTAGGGTTGTCATGAGTCATAAAGGGCCTTAGAGTCAATTTTCTTGTGGTACGGGAAGGATGGGAAGGATGCTCTAAGTTTGTACAGCAAAAAAATAGATTTATTTTTACAGTCCTAAAATGCTTTTGTAACACTTCTTCCATATATTGACAGACCTCTGTTTTTTCCATTCTCAAGTACAGTCTCCTGATAATGGAAAAGAAACTTGGAGTTTGCTGCATAATCTGTTTTGTTGTGAACTCTGCCAGCCAGATGACCCACCAATTATCGTTCAAGAACAGAAAACTCTGTTGGCTTCTATATTGTCAGTTCTATCAGCCATCTCTTCTTCACAAATCAAACAAGAATTTGTCAAGATGGAAAAAAGTAAATATTGTTTTTCATATCACTTTTAGCAGCCTAAAGTTTTAAGACAGAAAATAGTTTTTCAAGTTTTTGCATAAGCCACAATAGTAATGAACGAGAAAAAACAAAACAGGAATATGCTGTAGGTAAAGGTAAAGGTATTCCTCTGACATTAAGTCCAGTTGTGTCCGACTCTGGGGGTTGGTGCTCATCTCCATTTCTAAGCCGAAGAGCCTGCATTATCCATAGATACCTCCAAGTCATGTGGCCGGCATGACTGCATGGAGCACTGTTATCTTCCCGCCGGAGTGGTACTATTGATTTCACATTTTTGAACTGCTAAGTTGGCGGAAGCTAGGGTTGACAACAGGAGCTCACACCACTCCCCGGATTCGAACCTGCAACTTTTGGGTCAACAAGTTCTGCAGCTCAGCAGTTTAACCAACTGCACCACTGGGGGCTCCCCGTGCTATAGATGAAAAGAATAATAATAAATATTATTGTTATAATATTATAAATAATAACACCTGAGAAGCATATTTACCCCAAAAAAGCACTTTATATTGATTTAGGACTGCTTGTATGTCTCTATCAACGCCCCACCTCCTGTATCTTGTTCATGCCTAGCATTATTTTTTAAACTTTAATTACATTTGGCCCAGCCATAGATTTTAAATGTGCACTGTATTTTGTTTAATGTTTATGCTTTTTGTGTATGAGATTTATTTTAATTGCTTTGTATTGTATTTGTTATTGCTTGTATTGTTGTATTGTGAGCTCGGCCTCATGTAAGCCGCACCGAGTTCCATGGGGAGATGGTAGCGGGGTATAAATAAAGTTATTATTATTATTATTATTATTATTATTATTATTATTACTTCCCGTCATTCTACAAATAGTTTTTATTATTATTCTATGCTATAGATGAGGAGCCCCAGTGGCGCAGTGGGTTAAACCACTGAACTGCTAAACTTGTTGACCGAAAGATTGCAGGTTCGAATCCGGGGAGCGGCGTAAGCTTCCACTGTCAGCCCCAGCTCTCCCAACCTAGCAGTTTGAAAACATGCAAATATAAGTAGATCAATAGGTACTTCTCCAGCGGGAAGGTAACGGTGCTCCATGCAATCATGCTGGCCACATGTCCTTGGAGATGTCTATGGATAATGCCATAGACATGTTTTAAGTTCCCTACAGAAGGTAGACAGGGTGGGTGCTAGCCTAATCTCCCTGGGAAGAGAGTTCTAGAGCCGGGAGGGGGGCACAGAGAAGGCTGTATGAAAACATGTTCATCTATAACCTTTAAATTGTTTTATATGTCAGATATGCCTCTGATTGATAGCTCAATAAGAGTCCTACGAAACTTGGATGAATGTGTAAAGAGATCTGGTGACAGTTTGAACAAATCTAAGTCAGAAGAGCCTGAAAGGTTGGAAAGAGCTGAGGAAGATTTCCATTTAAAAATCGTGAAGGACATCTGTTGTGAGTTACTCTCAAATATGCTTCAGGAAATGTCAAAGGTAAAGACCCTATGAGCCTGTGGATGCGGAAAATATTTCATTTCAGCACTAGTGTTCTATGTAATGCAGAGACTTCTGTGATCATTTTCAGAAACAGAAAAGTCTATTTTTAAATGGTTTTCTGGATATGGGAAATGATGTTCACCAGATATGCATAATTCACAAGATTGCTTCACCATACAAAAAAGAAGGACAGAGTATTTGGTGTGTGTAACCAGCTTGCCTTTGAGACACAGATCTCCATACTGAGTTACATAAGAGTTTGATTAGCAGATTTAAGTTGCAGTAAAATGTAGAGTGTGTCAGACAAGTTAATATCTTTCTGGACTGAATTCTTTCAGTGCAGTACCTAACTTTATTTTAAGTTAAAGAGAATATATGTCTTCATATTTTAATTGCTGATTCTTGGTTTGGTCTGAGATATTGTGCAGCCCAGGCAGAATTTTCATTTACCATTCTTGTACTCAGTCTGATTTTATTTATCATGTCAGAAGTGAATTGAAGGTACAGTTATAATGTATTTGAAACACTTGGCATTATACTAAATGTCCGTTGACCAGAAGCTGGCCGCTTGGAGTGCCTCTGATGTTGCTATGAGAAGGTCCTCCATTGTGCATGTGGCAGGGCTCCAGCCACATTGTAGTAGGTGGTCTGTGGTTTGCTCTTCTCCACACTTGCATGTCATGGACTCCACTTTATAGCCCCATTTCTTAGGTTAGCTCTGCATCTTGTGGTGCCAGAGGGCAGTCTGTACAGCATCTTCCAAGTCACCCGGTCTTCTGTGTGTCTCAGAGGGAGTTTCTCATCCAGTCTTAGCCACTGATTGAGGTTCCAAGTTTTAGCCTGCCACTTTTGGACTCTTGCTTGCTGAGGTGTTCCTGGAATTATCCCTGTAGATCTTAGGAAGCTATTTCTTGATTTAAAGCATTGGCTTGTTGGTTGATATCCGAACAGAGAATGGGCCGGAGATGTCATTGTCTTGATCCTTTCATTACAGCCTGCTACTTCCTGACAGATGTCAGGTGGTGCAATACCAGCTAAACACTCTGATTAAAGTTTCCAATGCATTCAGGATGGAATTGAGGCACAGTTAAACCATATATAGAAACAGTGGTCTCATTTTGTTCAAATATTGGGCAGGGATTTCCAGATACAGAAATGTTACTAATACTACAGCATTTTTATATCCTACTCAATTCCTTGGAGACCTAATTATCTTGTTACTAGTGTGCTTTTGTCCTCTGCTATTTGGGCTCCCTTGTAAGTATTTTATTCCTTGTGTAATATCATGTAGATTAATGAATCATGGTTTTTATATGTTTACTGGGCTTATATTTGTTAAACTAATAATGGCTTTTTGACATTTTCAGGAAAACATATTGGAGGGGCTCAAGCAGGGTCATTTAAATGAAGAGAAATGTTCCTGCGTATTTCAAAATCTCCTCCCTTTGTATTTATCTTCGGTATGTATTTCCTCTGAAAGAAGTGACTGTTTTGATTTTACTGGAAGATAGTTTTGAGAAGAATTGTGTACATATAAGAAATTGCTATGAGAAATTGCTACTAGAAAGTTTAGGGGTCTGTGGCTGAAAACCTGGCTGGTAAATTAACACCAACTTATGAAATCCAGTGCTATCTTGTGAGACCTGAGTGTACTCTATGCCTCTTTCTCCATAGCTTCCCAAATTATTTTTGTAGTGTTGGTACAAAAGCATAATTGCGAAGAGGGCAGGAACTGTCATTCCTACTCTGACTCCTGCAATCAACACTGTAATCCTATGATCAAAATACAGGCTGTACACCTGTGTGGAAAATTAACATATAAGATAGGAGTAGCAAAAGGAGACAAAAAAGAAGACTTATTGGGCATTGTATGGGAACCATTTGTTAGTTACATGTATCAAAACAATGGCAAGTTTAAACCACCAAAGATCATGTGCAATTCTAAATTAACTAGATAAATACCATTATAATAATATGTGATGGAAGATATTTTGAAAAGGTGTAAGAGATTTGACAGAACTGTATTTTTAAGTGTATTATGAATTGGGGTGAGGGGTGGGAGGGTGCTGCCATGCATCAAAGAGTTATCTGAATCCACAATGAAAACCGCTTACATTTTTTAAAGAAACACTATTTTAAAGGCGTTGTGTTTTTCTTTTCTAAACCATGGACATATTTGTTATTTCTTTAAATAGTATACTTTTGCATTTCCATGGCAGCCATGAAATCAATGAATGCTTTAGAAAGCACGTCTTTCTTTTTCATGGCTACTGCACTAAACTTATATTCACTGATGCTGGAAGATTCTGAGAGCAGTTGGCATTTCCTTGGGATGAAAAAAATAATAGTCAGTAAATGTAACCATAAAATTTAATAGTTTTAAATAGTGCAGAATCAGCAACATATTTTGAAGAGGTATAAATAAATCCGTTTTGATTGTTCATTATTTTGTTCAACATATTGGACTGATTAGGTAAAGGTTTCCCCTTGACATTAAGTCTAGTCGTGTCCAATTCTGGGAGGTGGTGCTCATCTCCATTTCTAAGCTGAAGAGCCAGCGTTGTCTGTAGACGCCTCCAAGGTCATGTGGCTGGTATGACTGCATGGCGCGTCGTTACCTTCCCACTGAAGCGGTACCTATTGATCTACTCACATTTACATGTTTTCTAACTGCTAGGTTGGCAAAAACTGATTCTAACAGCAGGAGCTCAGCTCACTCCCCAGATTTGAACTGCCAACATTTCAGTCAGCAAGTTCAGCATCTCAGCAGTTTAAACCACTGTGCCACTGGGGGCTCCATTGGACTAATTAGTCTGATTCAGTCCCATGTTTCATCTGATTTAGTTTGTTGACATAAATATTGATATTGATTTGTTGACATATATATTTATTTTCAGGTGAAGAGTTTTCTTGAAGTCCTACGGGAAGCTGATCCGACTCTTGCAGACAACTTAGGAAAAAACTTCCCAAGCTTGAAACTCCAGATATAGTACCACATATACCACATTTTCTAGCTGGAAGATTTTGAATTGTTCAGTACTGTTTAGGAAAGTAACATGAAGGTGTATTTTTTTAAAAAAAAGTTTACATTTTCTTTCTTTAAAATAGAAAGTAAAATGAGTGTACTCATGAGAAAGGAATAGAAATGACAGAGAATATTATAGAAGACGAACTGATAGGCACCTGAAATGTTTATTTTTATGAGAGGAAAACACAAACATAGTTTTATATGTTCTTAGCCATTCATGTTGTGAGTCTTCATGTTCTTGATAAAACAGTCATATAACTTCATATATTTTTGAATAATTTTTTATCAGACTGTTAATAGTAATATTGGTTAAGAAATCTAATAGTATTTGTTCCTGTCAGAGAAAAGAGAAAGCAGAATATGAAAAATGGATAGGAACTAAACTTCCTCTAATTGATGGATCAAGCACAACCCTCCATAGGTTGTTGGAATCTAACTCCCAGCATTTCTTAGCATTGGCTGTGAGTGGTGGGAATGTGTATAATAGTTTCTTAGTGTTTAATTTTCTGAAGCGCTAGAACTACAACATGTACACAGGCTGCTGATTGTGTTCCTTATTAATTGTGGAATTTTAGCTGGGAAACAGATTTTAATGAAATGGTTCAAAACAATGATACTATAACCAGGATCCAGCTATTCCAGTTACACATGGGATTTTTTTTATGCTGCAACGATCCCTCTTAAATTTACCCCAAATCTCCCTTTGAAGATAAAAGGCTCCTCCAGAAAGGCTGTGCATTTGATGAAACGAGTTACTGTTAGACGATTTTTTTCTTGCCACTCCCATGTGTGTGAATGGAAACAAATTTGGGTTTCATACAGGCATTTTTGTACTAAAAATAAGCATTGATACCTGTTTTGTATGTATATTGGAAATATATTGCAACTGAAGTTTGACAATAGTTTTTATTAAACGCAGTAAAATAGTTTTGTATAATTTACATTTTCTACTCATGTTTCATAACCTTTCTTGTTGATACATGACACAGATCTCTCGTGTGACTGCTATTCTTTTTATCATATATCAGCCACACTTTGTATTCTTTAGTGCTGGGGGTTCAGCCTATGGAAAAATCAGACACGTTAATGGGCTATGGGCTTGTATGTTCAATATGTTGCTGTTAACTGGAAGCAAGATAAACTAGCAATGTTTGGCGAGAATGTCATCTCTGTCCTTATAACTCTCAAATATGCTATCTACAAAATCAAAAATTTCAATAGCATACTAATTTTTGTGGAACATAACTGAAGTTTTAGTAATATCTTTGAAAAAAGGCCTTGGTCAAGTTACCATGACAGCTTCGTAAGAATTGCATCTTGTGCATTCAACTGAAGGTGGTTTTGAAATCTTATGATTTCCATGTAAGACTGAACTGAGAGAGAACATTGTTTTCTTTACCTGAAGTCAAAATCATTTCTCCATGATGTGGTATACTTTCTCAAATAACAGACCATGGAAGGAACTGAATAATAGGGTTGAAAAATCCTTTGGATCACTATGCATTCTGATCATGTCAAGTAGAATTTTAACTTGTTCTGAGCAAACCAACCATAAGTTAAGTAAATCTGACATGGTATAATTTTGTTTAAAATTATATTGATCTTCTGAAAGGAGGATGCATTCTTAGGGAAATGAATTTCTTTCCTGTATATACTGCTAAGAGTCAGCACAGACATACTCTGAACTGTATCTGAGAAAGCATTTGTATTTGTAGATTTCTAATTATAGAATCATAGAATAATAGAGTTGGAAGAGACCACGTGGGCCATCTAGTCCAACCCCCTGTTATGCAGGAAAAGCACAATCAAAGCACCCCCGATAGAAGGCCACCCATTTGTTGGGGGTGCTTTTCTAAGAGCTTCCAAAGAAGGAGCTTTCACCAGATTCTGAGGCAGAGAGTTCCACTACTGTACCTTGGACCAGCTGCTCCCAGTCCTAGTCTCGAGAGTAGCAGAAATCAAACCTGCTCCCTCTTTCTTATGACACCCTTTCACATATATTTATATATGGCTATCATGTCTCCTTTCAATCTTCTGTTCCACAGGATAAACATACCCAGTTCTTTAAGACGTTCCTCACAGACCTTTGATCAGTTTAGTTGTCCTCCTTTGACCACTTTCCAGCTTGTCAATATCTCTTTTGAACTGTGGTGCCAGAGATGGACACAGTATTCCAGGTGAGGTCTAACCAAAGCAGAATACTAAGGCACCATGACATCCCTCGATCTTGACACTATACTCCTTTTGATGCAGTCCAACATCCCATTGGCTTTTTTTAGCTGCTGCATCACACTGTTGGCTCATGTTCAACTTGTCCAGAAAGACTCCAAGATCTTTCTCACATAGACTGTTGTCGAGCCAGGCATTACCCATCCTGTATCTTTGCATTTCATTTTTTTCTGCCTAAGTGTAGCATCTTACATTTGTCCTTGTTGAAATTCATGGAGATCTTCCGTGTTGAGAGCATGGGATGTACTAAATTATAATTCTTTGGCATTCTCATTTCATAGGTATCATGACTTCTATCAAACAAATGCTTATGCCTCGAGCAAATGGACAATGAAAATATTTATACTAACCTTAGTTTTTAGATAAAATGTTGGGGAGGATGAAATGCTGGAAGCTCATTGGATGCAGGGGATATTTTCAAAGACAGACGTCTTTGTTACTCCACCCGCTTCTTCCTTTCCCCACATGTTTTTATCTAATTTTAGTTGGATTTAGATTTCATTCTAGTGTCTGGGCTAAGTCAAGCTATTTAGAAAACAGTTGTTGGGACATGGCAAAGATATCTGCACACAATCTCTCCATCCCTTTGGGATTATGGGATAGGATTTGGTGTCCCTCAGTTCATGCAGGGCACAGGTTTGGGGCCACTGCCAGATTAATCCTGTCCTTTCTCAAGCAAAAAAAAGTGTTTCAATGTTGCCACAACAGTAGACACTTTGCGTAGCACCTAGATTACACAGACTTACGTTTAGTTTTTTTTTTTTGGTCATCCTGATTATCATTAAAGTGTAGGACCCCCCCCCCCCCCACGGATGAGCAAATTGCTTTCTGTTGCACTGATGCTGTCACGATACAGACAGCCCTTTAACTACCGAGCTTATATCAATATTATTTTTGTTGCCATGCAGGGCATTTTGACAGCTTGTGTAGAGACGTGGTGGTAGGTTTAACGGGCCATCTGCCATTCCCCACCCCCCAAAGGGGAAATGTTTTTGTCAATTACTTTAATTAATTCACTAAACTATTTCCTGGTTTGCCATCCTAGCACAATTTTCCTATCTACTGTCAATAGGAAGGGATGAAACATACAAGGAAGTTCAGGCTGTTCCACTTTCTAGATGCAGCCTTGCGTGAAATCTTCAATGGCTTATGACGTCAAATTGTCGTCCTTTCTTTGCCTTGTTCTGTTTTATTTTTAAAGGACTTCCCATGCTGCATTTTATTTTATGGAATCTTTCAGAAACAATCACATTGGTTATGATAAAGAAATATTTAGGGACAACAAGGGGGATATGAAAGAGGAACTTTAGGACTATCCATTTCTAATGGAGAACTTGAAGACACAGACTCTGGCTTCTGGAAGATGGTATCTTAACTATCAGGTCCTGACTTCATCTACAATATCTTCCATCCTATTCCACTGGGGAGAAGAGCAGATGTGAAGAGAAGCACTGGATCTGTTCTGATGAAGGCTAACTGGATGCCTATGCATAGTCCACAAGTAGGACATAAAGGCAAAAGTCCACTTCAGCTGCTAGTGACTGTTTCCAACATATGCTTATATGAATCCTGCAAGCAGGACATGAGTTTAAGAACTATCTTGCATTATCATTTCGAAGATATAATGTAGCCATCACAAGCTACATTAACTGCCATCAAATGTCTGATCCTCTTCTAAAGCCATTCATATTGGTGGTCATCACTACAGCACAGTGAAACATCTAGTTTTTGCACTGTGTGAATAAGTATTTCCTTTCAGCCTACTGTGAATTTCCTTTGTTGTTGTTAAGTGCTTTCAAGTCAACTTTGACTTAAAGGTAACATCATGAATGTGAGATATCCAAGTTGCCCCATCCTCAAACCTGTCTATCCATCTGGAATGTGGTCTTCCTATTTTTCTACTGCTCTTCACCTTACCAATCACTATTGTTTTTGTGAGTCATATCTATTCATGATATGGGCAAAATATGACAGCCTCCGTTCAGTCATCTAGACTTCTAGGGAGAGTTCAGGCTAGATTTGCTCCAGGACCCATTTTTTTGTTTTTTTAGCATTCTGTAATATTTGCAAAACTCTTCACCAGCCCAGTATCTCAAATTAGTTGGTTTTCTTCCTAATAATTTTATTCACTGCCCAGCTTACATAACCATTCATAGAAATGGGAAATACAGTGGCATGGATCACCTTAACTTCAGTATTCATTGCTACATCTTGACACTTCAAGATCTTTCCTAAATACTTCATAGCTGCCCTTCTATGTCCCAATCTCTTTTAAATTTCTTGACTGTGGTTTCCAGTTTGATGAGGGATTGAGCCAAAGTATGGGAAAAAATTATCAAGCCCTCCTCCCACCAATAAAATACCTTCTGTTAAGCAATGTATTATTAAAGGAAAACAGAGATGGGCCCAGACAGTCATTTGTGGAAAGGAATTCCACAGTCTAAATGCAGCTACCAAGAAAGTTCTCTCACAGATCCATATGAGATTGACCTGGTACTATGGTGGACCTCAAAAAAGTCTTTTTCTAAGGTTCTGACAGGTTTGTAAAGGATAACAGTACTTGCTAAGTCCCAGGGCATTTCCGGACAAAGGGCTCCTTCACTAACAATTAGAAGGCATTGTGGAGCTATTCCGTTAAACGCCAACTAATTTCCTAGTGTAAGTAAAACACTAGGAAAACTAGGGCAGTTGAGAAATAGAGAACATCATCATTTGAAGCTCCCTGGAAAATTCAGCACATAAAATCAATGCAATTGCATGATGAAGCACTTGTCTGAAATCTGAACATAAATAGTATGTAAGTTGATTTTCATTATGTGTGGGAAAGAAAGCTTTCAAAATATTATTAGCCTGGTTGCTCTGACCCTCAGCTTTACTCATATTTGAAAGAAGTGGAGTTAATTAAAATTAAACAAAGCCAGGTTCTTGCATGGTTGAGTCCCTTTCCTGTGTCTCTGAGATGACAAAGAAGCTATGAATAACGTCTGCTCTGCTTTTTGTTGTCCTGTCAGGCAAGGATAATGAAGTCAATATGACGTCCAGGTGCTGCGTGCTCTAAGCAAAGGCAGTGGAAGGTGGCTCCAGGAACATATTAAAACCAGCACAGTAAATCTCCAAGCATACAGTGGCCAGCATCATGTTAGTTTGAGCAAAAATTAAAGCCGATCTAGGACTCACAATTTCACATTCAGTAGCTAGCAGAGAGCTAGAGGATCATGGTCAGAGAGTAGCAGCAGACTGCAGAGACCAGGATAGTGGTAGTAGTTCTGTACATATATGTAGAATTCTGTCTAATTGGTACTTTCATACTGTTTCAGATGTGGAAATAGTCCACAGGCCATCTACACTGCGTAATATAGTACTTTAACTTTCATGGCTCCTTGAATGGAATGTAGTTTGGTAAGATTCCCTGCTAGACAGCTCTGGCAGACTCCTTTCAGTTATAACAGAGAATTCCTTCACAACAGAGTACCCTTCAGAGAATTACAGATTCAAGTGTAGTGATTTCAGCTAAGTCCACAGTTAGAGAGGTCTGTGCCTGGTGAGCATCTGCAAAACCAGATCAGCCAGGACAGAGAACAAGCTCTCCAGGTTGAAGGCAAAGCCACAGAGGTTTATTACGATTCAGCCAAAAAGGATGCAAGTACATGCAATATGCGTCAAAAGGTACAAGCACTAACTCACAGAGAAATACATGACGTCTTACATAGTT